GGGTATCATGATCCGGCGCTGAATAGCAAATCAGGCGTGCAGCGGCGAATGTAAAAACAATTGAAAAAAAAATCAGACCCCTTGTATTATTTTGGGCTTTTATTGCGCCGAGCCTTTTTATATGCACTCGTGTGTCCTTCAGCCACTTGATGGAGGAGGATTTGCTCTCGGCTGAATAAGAGCAACACACAGTAAATAACACCCAGAGACGAAAAAGATTGACTGGAAAGGGGAAAACCAATAGACGCGGGCTGCCAGTAAAAAATTCAGACTGCAGGAATTTCTCTTTCTTTCTTGTATATTACGTGCGAAACTCTCTCGCTCCCGTTTTTCGATCCGAACTCTTGAGCAGAACAAAAGCAGCGGAATAGTTTCTTTCTCTCTCCTTCTTTTTGCGCATTCCGCAAAGAGATTTCGGCCAAGAAGGAAATGTTTTGCGCGAAATGCTTTTTGGGCCGAATTTCCCCCAGAGAGAGAGAGAGATTTTTGTTCCTTCGCGCGCAGAGCCAACGCATTAATCTCGCGCGCAATATTACAACGCTTTTCGCGCAAATTTAGCAAAGCTGTCGGAAATAACGCACGCATCGTTTCACGGAAGCTGCGAGCTGCGATGCAACCCGCTCGCCAGCCACGCTCGCCAGGTTGCATAACGTATTTTCATTCTGTGAAAACTTGGTCCGTCCAGAAGACTGACAATGAGTGCTTTTGAATATAAAGCGAAAAGATTAGAAAGAAAAAAACTAATGATTTTTATTTATTTCTAGTTAGGTGGAACAAAAATCAATATGTAACAAAATGCAAAATTCCATTCTCCATTCCACAACAATTTTTAAATGTCTGCAAAATGGTTAAAAAATCTGTCTTTTGGACTTGTTGATCATTTTCAGTTTCACAACTCTCACGTGTTTAGAATTGAACAAAATTCTCCAAAATCCATTGTCAGAATGAAAAACATCAATTTATTCAGCACTCGAATCAAATTTTCTAACTTTCTCTGAGCGACATTTGAAATAGAAATAAATAATAAAACCTGAACCAAATGTTTCAGAGAACCATCGCAATTTACACAACATGGAACTTTAATTTATTTTCCGGATTTACCTGACAAGCGCCTTTTTCGCCTAAAAATTAATATCATGCTTGGGAAAAACCAGTGCGTGCCAAAAATTTCGTAAAATTCCAACGCAAGAATTTTCGCCATTCCATAACTTCTCTCTGCTGAAAAATAAGCTGCCAACCTATTTTCACTCGGCGGCGCCTAATTTGTCCGTAAATTGCCTTGTTGGCTTTGTTAACACTTTTCCGCGCGCCTTTCCTTTCAACATATTTTTTTTATGTGCCTTTTTAGCTGCCAAGTTTGCCGGCCGATCAGATTATATAAAATACATTCAAGCTTGGGTGTCAAAGTTATTGCACGCACCATTAGCCGCGCATCAAGCAACACTCGGCACACACAAATTGCACCGCTTTGGCACGAGGTTGTGGTTGAGTTAGCGGCGGCGGAAAACAGGCGGGGGGGGGGGGGGACGATTCATTAGGCGACACCTTTTCCGCCCTTCGAATGTTTTCGCAGCGGCCGGGCCGGTTAAATGAAAAAGTTTTAAATTACAAACACACTGCGGCCTCCAACTTTTTTATTAACTCGAATTTGTTTCGCCTAAAACGTCTGCGACTAACTTTTGCGCCCTCCTTGTCTCTCTTTCTCTGGCAAAAGAATATATTTTAACTCCAATTAGAGGAAGAAGGCCACCCGCGGGGCCTGATTTCTCTCTGCAATCCCCCTGCTTTCATTTAGACTAGAGTCGAGCAATTATAATTGAGATAAATCTTCGGCGCCGCCTAAAGCAATTATACAAGTTTCAGCAGAGTGATTACAAAAATTACAGATTATCAAATAATATTTTGATTTAATTTAGTACTATTTTACATAAAATTGTAGTAAAAGGATTGATCAATTTTTTTAATTCCGCATATTCAATTTTTAATTTTTATTTGAAAAAACAGAAGAATATATTATTATCAGTTCGTTGTAAAATAAATGAAAATTATTTCGTCAAAACTTGTGTACAAGAATTCTTGTTCTTTTTTGATGCATTTTTAATTTTCAACTATGTCAGTCACAATCAGGCCAATTTATCTAATAAATTTGTTACAATGTCGCAATTTCATCAACAAATTTAAGTGTTTAAGGGACTTGTAATATAAATTATAAAGAAACTTTAACATTAAATTAATATTAATCACAAAATTCTTTCATATTTTGGTGTAATAATTAAAACACAATATATTTTCAGTCACCAGTCTCCTGCCAAAATGTGGCTAAAAATTATTTTATTTTCTTCCAAATTCGTAATTGAAAACTTATTTTGCTGGAAATTTTAGTACTTGAGGTGACGCTTGATTCAAATTTAGAATTTCGATTCTTTAGAAATTTCAAAATTGAGAATGATAAATCATTTTGCGCCTAAAAATTTCTTCCCGATGGACCTGGCCTAAATTTTTAATTTTTTTTAATTTGAATGATTACGTTACTAATTTTAACAAGGATACTATTTAAATTATGGAGATCAAATTACAATTTTTATCAAATACATCAGAAAATGAACTAATGTTACAAAATTTAGTAATTTTTATTTAAATGAATTTGTTCTTCAACCTTCATCTGATCCAACCAACAGTTTCTTATTCTTTTGAAAAAAGGAGAAAGAGATCAAATGTAAAAAAAACTCTCTGTAAAAGTCTCTATTTGAAATATAAAAGAGCGGTTTCCAAATTGAACGAAATAGTTGCTTGAATTGATATTGAAATTAATATGAAGACTTCAGAATAAATTTAATAATTTTCAGTAATGAAGACCTGCTTTTTGGCTGTCATAGAAAGCAAACGCAGGCGAAATCCCGCGCGCGTCTGAGCAACCGCAGCTGCCGGAAAACAAGGCCTCAAAACGAGGCAAACTTCCTTGCCTGGCTTTGAGACTCGGTCGCCGCAAGAGAGCGACTCGCAATAATAATAATAATAATCGCACACATCGGAATACAAACACGGCGAGGTCTTGTATTAGCGGAAAATGCGCGCAAAATATTAATCCTCGCGGGAGAGAAAACCGCGCTGCTCAAGTTCCATTGAAAAGCGCGACGACATTTATTATACGGGGCGATGAAATTTTTATACGCGCCGCGCATTCAAATATATGAAATAATTAAAACGAGCACAATGCGGCGCTCTCGCGAGAACGCAGCATTTTATTTTATATGCATAAAAGCCCGGCGGCGGACGCGGCGGCGGCGGCGGAAAGCAGGTTGTTGTCCTTATCAGTTTCATTATCGAGAACGGCTGCTCAAAAATACGCGCGCATACGAATATCTTCATTTCGCGGAAAATAGAGCTGCAGGGCGCGCCGCAAAAATAGATTAACCCCTCGCCCGAAACTACCCCCGCCCGCAGCAAATTTGAATAAATGTGGTTGTGCCGGCCAGAAAATATAAATTCAACTTTGCGATGCCCGCAACAGATTTCGCCCGCCGTCTGCACCGCGTCACGTTTTGTTCCAACAAAAACTCTCCAAACCGAATCGAATTTCATTTAAAGTTATACTTTGGCAAGATTAAATATTAGGTAAAGAAGAAATCATTTTTTAGTTTATTTAGCAGGAAATATAAATTAAGAAATTTCTATTCAATTGAGATTTTTTAATTTCTGAAGATCTTTTTAATCCATAATATCTTATTTATGCAATTTAATTATACTTCATCAGTAAAATTTTGCTAATTTTTTAGGGAAATTTCATTTTCATTTTTGTTGAACTTTCTTCATCAATTTCAACTGAGACAGTTTTGAGAATAAAGATATTTAAAAAAATATTATTTTAAGAAGCGCTAATTTTAAAAAGTTAGCACTTTTAATGAATCCAAATGAATCCAAATGAATTCTATTTTTCTGGAATTCAATTCTACAAATCAATATTCATGTAAAGAAAAAATATCTTCAAAATTAACTAGTCTGTTTTTTAGCACAAATGAATTTTTTTTTTAACATTTTACTAAAAATTTCAAAGTTTTAATTTTGTATTATTTTAATTATACATTAAAAAGGCAGTCTTAGTGTTTCTACATAAATTGAATCAAATTCACCTCAGATATTACCTGTAAATTAAATTCGCAGGACATTTTGTTTTATTGTAATCGCGTCATTCCCTGGAAACTGGCACATTTACATAAGTAGCTATTCCAGAGATAACTATAGCTTTGTAGTTTTGTCGCGAGTGCGAAATTAGTTTGCACCGCGGTTTGCTCTTCTGCATTTGTGCTTTGCATTGCACTGCAGTGTGTGTGCGACTCGTTGCGCGAATACATAATAATTTATTCAAACAAACTAACTGACGCCGTCGAGCGCAAAACTATGTAATTTGCAACGCTGGTGGTAAAAGCTTCGGGCGATAAATCAAAATGTTTTGCGTTCAGTTTCCAATATGCCATCGCATGCACACAAACTACTGCGGCGAAAACAAATCAACTTATTTGCGTTTTGATGTTTGCGCGTCGAGGATGTTCTTGCGAAATTATTAAATTTTCCATTTAAAAGAACGTGAATTATTTGATGAGTCAGGTAAATTAGGCGTTTTTATATCAATGTGTAGATAAATTATTCGTAAAAATAATAATTATATAGAATCTCAAAATCAAAATTAACACATTATATTTATTTTTCCTACAGATTTATTTCCTTATTTAAGTTTTTTTTTATAATATAATTTAAGTATTTTTTTTCTTAAAATTTTCATCAAATATTTCTAATTAACAGAAATTTAAAAAAAAGAATTCACTTAACAAGTGAACATGTCAAAGAACAAACCGACTTTTTAGCACAAAACATGGATTTTTACACAGTCATGTCATGCGTGTACTTCTTTAGTTGTGAAATTTTATTATTTATTTTTGTGCAGCGCGTTAATTGGTTTTTCACACTTAGTCAGGCCGCCTCATTGTGGCTTTTTGTTGTTTCTTGGAAAGATAATTCGCGCGGTCTGCACTTCCACAGGAACAAACAAGAAAGACTCTGCGTCAACGCGCTCGCATATCCTTAAAAGCTAAAAATTAAAGCTTTTTCACAAAGCTGAGGAGACGCTGAAGGGACTCGGCAGTGCCAACTCGTCGCGGGAGGATTATCAAGGAAAATGTTTTCGCCCAAGACGATTGTTCTTTTCTTCGCCTTGTTCATCGCATCAGGTGAGACAAAAATTCTTAAATTTTGTTAACGAGGATGAATTTTGACTTTAATTGCTTTTTTTTCGTTACAAAAAATAAAATTGGGAATTTTCTAATGATCTCTCAGGGCAGGCGCTGGAATGCCACACGTGCAATTCTCAGAATGACCCTGGATGCGCCTTTGAAAAATTCAACCCCAAACAATCGACGAACCAGCACAAGAAATGCGAAGATTCCTTCAAACACACCTTCCAACAAACCCAGGCCATCCTCTTCCCGACGTACCACGACTTCCCGGTCGAAAGACTCATGGTCAACAATAAATCCACGGACGCCTGCATTAAATACACCGTCACTGGTTAAAAAAACCCAAGCCCTTTTTTGCTAATTTTTTCAATTATTTTGCATTTTCAGACGCGCAGACAAAGAAGTCGGTGACCTTCCGAGGTTGCTCCGTCCTGGGAGACCACTCGTGCACCCTCACGCAGAGTTTGATAACAACAGCAGGAGGAATTTCCGATCACTGCCATCAATGTGCGAACAAGCAATACTGCAACGACGCAAACAGCAAAGTTCCATTCGTCTCTGCCGTTTTCATGGCTGCGGTCGCCTTGGTGCTCTCAATCAAATTTTAATTAAAAAAAAAATTATTTTATATTTGAAAAAATCAATTTACTTTCAAAACTTCTTTCTTTAAGTGATTATAAAATAATCACTTAAAATATAAAATCAAATTAAAATTTTTTTAAATTAAATAAAATTTATTTCCCATTAAATAATTTATAGATTGCTGCAAAAAGCAGATTATCTTCCTGAGAGTCCTGAGCACCAAAATTAAATTACTTACAATATGATATTCATTAATAAACTGATTATTATGAAATAATAAAAAGATCTTCTGACAGAATTGAATGAACTTATAATTTTTTATTCCAAAATGTAAGCTTTCAACAATGTCTTTGTCCACCCCAATATCAACTAAAATAGGATAAGTTTAGCGGTCTTCACTTCTGCATAAACGATAAACAGGAAGGACATTTTGTCAACAGGCAAAGAGTTAAAAGCTAAATAATTGAAGCGCTGTAATTTTGAGATATACTGAATAAGAGAAGAAATATCCGTGCAATTGCACTTCTTGCAGAAAGCCAAAGTTAAAATTTAATTCATTGCAAAAAAAAACTACTTAATTATTGAAATGACATAAGATATATTTTAGTGTCTATCACGATTAGTGATATCATATGGATAAGGCGCGCTAATCTAAATTAAGATGAGTTGAAAATAATTACAACCAGAAATAAAATGTGGACAAAAAGGCTCCTTGGGCTGTGGTTTATCATTATTTTGTTGGATTTTTTACAATTAAAACTATTTTTAAAAGCTGAAAAAGCTCTCTGTTATTCACAAAGCCAGAGCTTATAATTCCTGGGATTTGAAGTAAAATGTTCTCACCCAAAACAATAATTATTTGTTCATTCAATTGCTTTATAGTTCATTGCATCAGGTGAGGACAAATTTTTTACTTTTCTGCAGTTTTCAAATGAGAATTAATATTATTTTTATTTTTGGAAAAAAAATCAATGGTCGGGCAGGCGCTCGAGTGCCAAACATGCAATTCCCAGCATGACCCAGGATGCAGCGGCCTGGACAAATTCGATCCTGAACTAAAGACGAATCCGTTCCGGAAATGCGACGACACCTTCAAACGCACTTAACAACAAACCAAGGACATCCTCTTCCCTTGGTCCTATGACTTTCCATTCGAAATTGTGTGTGTCCACAATAACTCCACAGACGCTTGTGTTAAATGCACAATTATAGGTTGAATTTGTTAAATTTGAGAATAAAAATAAATGAAATAATTAATTTGCAGACACAAAGACCAAGCGGCGTGAAAATATTTTTTTTTATACTTCTTCTTGAGAAGGGGGAGACGCAAAATTCGGTGACGTCCCGCGGGTGCTCCACTTTGGGAGAGCAGCCGTGCACCATCGCGCAGATCTTGATAACAACCGAAGGAGGAAGCAATGTGTGGACAAGGATTACTGCAACAAAACGCAAACAGCAAAGCTTCTTTTGTCTCTGCCTTTTTCATGGCTGCTGCTGCAATCTAATTCCATAATTATATGAATTTTTGATACACTCAAATATGAGTTTAATTATCATAATAAAATCATTTAAAAATAAGTCCACTTTTAAAATATTTTTCAGAGTAAAAATAAAATGGATATAAAGATGACTTTTTTTGTGAATCTTCTTTTTGTTATTGTTACTATGGTACTTGCACCAGTGGTCGCACTGTTTGCTTTGTCGCACACGCGGCTGCGCAGCCCATTTACCAAAATGGCTTATGGGCCGCGCAGCCGTGTGTGCGACAAAGCAAACAGTGCGACCACTGGTGCAAGTACCATATCCAATTTTATTCAAAATGTTTCAAATCTATTTAATCTAATTCAAAAATTAAATGCCCACAAATATATAGCAATGGAGCCAAAACTGGTGTTTTAATTTATTTATTATCTAAAAATTTTAACTTATATTGTCTAATTGTATGATGAGTTGCATGTTTACAACAGAAAATTGATTTGGAAGTTGCGAGTATCAATTACAACAGAAATCATTGAAATTGTTAATAATGGAAAATCTAATTTTAAAAATGCTTCCAAGCTTGCCATAAATAGTTTATAAATAAACTATTAAAGAAAAAAATCAATTTTTCAAACCGATCAAACATAATTTGAGATTTCAATGTAAGCTTTACAAGCTTAATTCTTTTTTATTGCAACATAAACAATTAATACAGATATTGTGCTTCATTTGTGACTCGTCCATTAGCAAAATTTGTCTGACAATTTGCTAGGAAACAAGGACCAGAGTAATACTGTATGAAACGATCTCACTGTTTTTAATTAGCACCATTTTCCTTGGCCAAATTGTTCTCGACCGACTGAGCCTTGTGGTCGGCCATGATTTGAAGGGCAAGGTCGCTGGTCACAGGACTTTCAAAGTGCAAGCGGAAGAACTCCTCCAGGTCCGTGTAGCCCTTCTGCTCGTACTCCCTGGCCTGCAGCAGCAGGTCCAGGTGGTCGAGTTCCTTGACGAACTTGGCCTCGGCAGTCTCTTGGGCCTCGTACTCGGCGAACAGGGCCTTGATGCGGCCGCCCGCGCCCCCCTCGCCGGCCAGGGCGGCCAGCTTGTCGATGGCCTCCCTCTCGCGGCGCAGTTTCTCGTCGCGGGGCACCCCGCAGTAGGGCGTGATGTCGCCGATGATGCTCTCGCCCATGTCGTGCACCAGGGACAGCTCCATGCACCGCACTCGGTCCAGCCCCGCCTTGAGCGGGAACAAAAGGCTCATCACGGCCATCCGGTACATGTGTCCGGCCACCGTCTCCGGCTCCTGCACCTCCTTCAGCACCCAGCCCTGCCGCTTCAGGTGCTTCAGCTCGTTCATGAAACGCAGGAACTCGAGCATGTTGGGCACGTTCATCTTCTCCAAGTCCATTTTCGCCCAAACTGTGAAACGAAATTCTTCGCCTGATCAATGCTCTCGACTTTTAATTCACCAATACTCACTAATTTCCGGGTTAATTATGTTTCAAAGGTTAAAAGCTGCATGCAAATGACACTAAATCAAGCTGTTTACGACAACGAGATTCTTTGCTGAAAGAGGGGGCGTGGCAGGGATTAAGTGGGCGTGGCGAAAAGCACCAGAATTTTGCAGAAGGTCGGGACTTGTCTTCAAATTTTCCTTTTAAAAACTGTCCAGGAAGTTGATTGAGTGCATTAAGTACATATTTAAATACTTAATTAAAGGAAGAATTCCTCATTTTGTAAAAAAGAAAAACCAAATCACAATTTTAAAGCAGAAAGGAAAGATTCAACCTCTGTCCCAGTTGACTTTTTTTGTAAACATTATGAGCCAATTTTCTGGCTTTATTGATGAAATTGAATGGATATCAGTGGACAGTTTTCTACCAGAGAACACGCAAAAATGTACGGCCTATTTTCTATCTCACTGTCATGCAGGTAAGATATTTTTCGTTCATTAAAAACCAATTTTCTAAAGTAATTTTTTAGATCACATGAGAGGCCTAAATGATCTGCCTTTTTCAACTCACATCGCCTCCAAAGCGGACCACTTTGTCTACTGCTCCGAAGTGTCCGCCCAAATTGTGAGGAACATGATGAGAGACAACGAATCTCTCTTGGGAAAGCTGAAGCCCCTCTCGCTGGGCCCAAATTGGGTGCAGGTGCCCATTATCAACTCCGACTACCACCTGAATCTTGTCGTGACCCTCATACCTGCTGGCCACTGTCTTGGATCTTGCATGTACCTTTTCATTTTAATTTTTGTAAAAGCTTAAATTTATAAAATTCATAGGTTCCTATTCGAAACTGAAAAGACGACAGTTTTGTACACCGGAGACTTCCGTTTCTGTGTCAATGACTACCCGAAGATAACTTTACTTCACGACAGCAGTGGAGGTGTCAAAGAGCTGGACACTGTCTACTTGGACACGACTTTCTGGACACAGGCCAACCACCACTTTCCTTCAAGACATGAGAGTTTGGCCCTAATAACCACGGAAATTGACAAGTTTAGAAAACGGACGGCCAATCACGGCCACATTCACATCGACAAACCGGGTAGATTCTGAATTATAGCTTATTATATTTTGATTTTATACTTTTCAAACTGCAGCCCGAATTGGCTCCGAGTTCTTTATAATGGAGTTGTCGCAGAGGTACAAGAGGAAAATCCACGTGAGTGACGATTCGCTCAGGATTTACGAAGGAATACACGAAGTTTCGTCTTGCATCACCAAAAACACCAAGGAAACTTTCCTGCACATGTGTCAGTCTTATGTATGTAAAAATATTTTACTTATCCCTGAGAAAATTTTATACTTATCTTTTGGAATAGAGACCCGGAAGGGCGAAAAGGCGTCTGCCCTGTGTCGAGGACTACTTGCAGGTTTTGCACATCCGTCCCACTGCCCAGTGGTACTCCGTAGGCGGAGAATTTTTCGTAAGGATGAATTATATAACTCAAATTTTTATTAATTGAAAAAAAAAAACAGCCTGTGAGAGAAGACTGTGACAGGAATATTATTCAAATATCGAACTCGATGCACGCTTCGAGAGCGGAATTGGTCGAGTTTGTCAAATATTTCAAACCGAGAAGGGCTGTTGCTTGTGTCGTTCCTGTCAACTCTTCAATGGATGAGGTGAAATTAATTTTAATCAATTCACTTATTAATTAGATCCGAGGCAGGTTCAAAACGAATTGGACGAAATTCTCTCCGAGTGCTGCGGAAGAAGACTGAGGAAAAGGAGGTGGAGTTCGAGCACTGAGGGGTCGCCTACCAGGAAATTTGTTCCTCGTCCTCCTTTCCTCATTCCCACAACTACAGTAGGATTTCAAGTTTTTATAAACTTAATTAAGCTATTTGAGAACAATTTTATAGGCCCCTGGTTTTGGCGAAGAACTCGATTATGAGGAAAACTGATCTCTTAAAGACTGACAAGCCATTAATATTAATTAACAGCTATTTTCAGCAAGGTTGAGGCTTTTTATTTTTGATAAAATTGTTAATTTGGTAATTATATAATCTGTATTTTTGTGTCTAAAGTAATTTGTTGTTTTTATAACAGAATTGATAAATATTCTGAATATTACTTTGTTCAGTAAAAATTTCATTCAATATTGTAGATTCTTCGAAATATTGTTATCACCATTAAGAAAGTAAATCTGATCTGAAGTGTCATTTTACAAAAGATTGAAATATAAAATAATAATTCTGAGCCTTGCTAATTTAGAAGTACCCATTTTAGATAAGTTCCTGTTAAATTAAGTGATGGACTAAAGTGAAATGTGAATGATAATAATTTGCCAATTTTGTACTGCTTTTCTTATTAATTGAACTGATTGACCTTAAATAAAAAACAATTTTTTGATCAAAAATAAAATAAAATTTTCCATTATTACCTAGATCAATTTGTCCTTTATTAATTCAGCAAGTAGTGGGGGGAAACAAATTAAGAGAAAATTCGGGGGGTCGCGGCGAGGCCCTTAATCTATCAGGTTAATGACAATTGCAGAGTCTGAGCCTCCGATCGGAGCTACCACTTTGTTACAGAGCGACTAAATCAAAAGTGCATCTTCCTAACATTGTCCATTTGCACCCTGGAGGACCAGAGGCAGTAGAGGGCGGCCAGGGCGAAGCCGACTCCGCCGCCGAGCAAACACCTTCGCGCACCTGCCGACGACTTGAAGAGCAGACCGGTTGCCGTGGCCGCGGCCATCGTGTTGTACTCGTCGTCTTCTCCTCTCCCCCACGAGAGCAGGACTCCGAATCCACTGTACATCACAGCCACCACTCCCAGGGTGTTGGCGCTGGCAGCACCTTGCTTCATCACATGGTTCAGTACCTGCAATTTTTACAATCGGTTAAAATTTACATAAAAATATCAAAACAAGTTACATCATTCGATTGGCAAAATATTTAAAGATTTTTTTTTTTCAAAATTAACCTGCGTCCGCCTAAGTTTCCCAGTTTCTCCTGCCAGGGTGGAGGCCTTGAGCCCCTTGTAAAGGCCCGAGCCTCCTCCTATCGCAGCCCCAATCATGCACGATCCGCCGATTTGAGAAAAGGCCAGTTCGAATCGTCCTCTTTGCCTTGCAGCACCTGCGAACATCACGATTTGGATAAAGTTTTTAACGATCATAAGAGATCGTCACCTTCAGGGAAAATAAACTCGGGCTGCGTGCCGCGGATTGCGTTGGGGTCGATGTTCAAAAAGGGCGACAAGGGTCTGACGTTCGGGCTGAGGCTCGGCAGGGGGCCGCCCAAGTTGTTGTCCCCCTGGCCGCCGTACGCTTGTGCGTACATCTCGAGGCGTCGCCGGCGATTTCTGACACCCGATGCACGTGAAAAACAGCCGTCCGACCGCTGGACGAGGCGAAATTCGGTGAAAATTCGCACCCCAAGGCCGAAGTTTTGCTTTCGGGGGCGTGGCCTCTACACGGAAAGAAAATCAGCGTGCGAGCGGGCCGGACGGTGCTGCTCCCTGCCGGCAAAACAAAAGTTTACGTATTTGCGGGGAAAGGCCGGGGGCGGGAACAAGAGTGGGCATAACATGACATGTGTACAGCGTGATTGCCGTAATTAATTCTTATACCATACCAAATTGTATTAAGATGATTTTCCTTTTATTTCTAAACAGTGCTAAAAATTTATAGATTTGACAGAGATCGACAAAATAATTGTAAAAGCTTTATATTTTATATATTCGACTGCGAGATCAAGTCATAAGACCTTGCTTTTTGTTCAAATTTATCAAACCAATTTTTCTACGAAATCTCAAATCATTTTCTGTCCATTTTAATTAAGAATCGACTACTTTTGGAACCGGGTTTTCGGTACCGCAAATATGAGAAAAGTAAGAGTGGCCCGGAATTTCTGTGTTGGCGAAAGTAGCAAGAAAGACGAGTGAAATTGAACTGCAATTAAATATGTGCAGCCACCATCAGAGAAAAAAATCGCCTCACTTTTGACAGTCGCTTCAGGTGTGAAAAATGGAAGATCAAGAAATAGGGTGCTTGAAACACATTTGTGTTTCTCAGAACGTTTGACACTAGACAGTAAATGAATGGAGGGTCTTTGTGAATCTCAAATAAATTATGCTCCCCTTTGTATGTTCCATTTAACTATTTACACTTTCTATGCCCACAAATAATAATATAATAGCATACCAAATTACTACCTTTTTATTCAAAATTTAACCTGGGGTGCTTAAATTTAACCAAAAGATAAATAATTTAGGTTCAATCAAACAAACATACTTGAAAATCAAAATCATCAAAAATCATGAGTGGAAATCACGGGAATGGATATTTTTTTTATGCCTTATGTTTGAGCTTTTCATATATATACAAATACATATAAAATTTTTATTTTATTTCCTTTCTTTTTAAGACGTACCTTGAGATTGTCAAAAGCAGCCTTTGAGTCTACAGGGGCAACATAAATTAGTCAAAGCCTAAAATCTTACAGCCTCATTGTGGCTAAAGTAATGCATCCCAAGTAGGCAAACATGTCTCCGAGCTGCTTGACAGTGATTTTGTTAGTCTTGAAGACTTTTTTTAATGAATTGGTTGACCTTTTGTTGCCAAGTTTTTTATGGGCCGCTCTTTGCGAAGGATGAATTTCCATTGAGATCAACACATGCCATTGACTTCGTTGATGAACTTCTTGACCGCTTCTTCAGCCTCAAGTTGGACAAAGCCCTTGAAGGTCTTGTCAGAAGCAACCTTTCGCAGCCGAGTATGTTGCCAAATGGTGCAAACGTCCTAACGATGGCTTTGATGTCGATGGTCTTGCCGTACACATTTGCTAATAAGCCGGCCAGACTGAAGATACCATTATGGGCCACCCTTCAGCATGTCAAAATTCATTGTGTCTTGTCTGCGGCTCTCCTGGGAGCTGAGACTAAATTAAAATCGACTCAAAACATATCATTGTTTAAAGGCTGGTGATGGTGACTAAATTTTGAATGGACGGTTTGTTTAGTACCATCATCAGAACGCTGTTGGAAATTCACATTGTCTGATATGGCTTAAGTCGAGCGACGTGTGCAGATTGTGTCGCGGCAAACTCCGGTTGAAAGGGCCCTCGGAGCAGTGTGGGCGGCCCTTTTCTGCGCCATGATGAGTTTGGGGTAAGTTTGTGGTCAGGGCCACCAGACTCAAGAACTCGCCCTAAGGTTCACCTGGAAGGACAAAAATGTAACTTCAATTAGATCTTGTAAACAAGTTTACTGTAATTTAGTAAATCAAATTGTCGAGTTGTAATTAGAATTTCCAAGTTCAATTTTTAATTCTCTAAGATAATCAAGAGGCAAATTTTACAGTTTCCTGATAAATAAATTTTATATTTTGCTTATAATTTTCTCCTCTTGCTCTCCAAACAAATAAAGGATATAATACCTTTGGGAAATCGGTGAGCGTCTCGAGCAGCTTGGCCAGATAGCTGAGCAGCTCCTTGGGCTTGGCCGCCCCTTCAACGCAGAGACCAGAGCCAGGCCGTTGGCCGCGGCTCCGAAATTGGGATATGAAAGCAGAAAAATGAATTACATTAGGTGAATGTCCTCTAATTGGCAGAATCATTTTAACAAGAGAAGAAACAAATCAATTTGTCCATTGCTTATTTCATTGCTGAGGCTTTATTTTTATTCGCCACTTCTGCTGACTTTTATTAACAAAAGCGGCGCAATCCCATGTCTCATAAAAAAATAAAATTGCTTAAAAAAGAATCTACAAAAACCATCATATCTTCTAGCGTAATTTATCAATTACAATTTTAAAAATTGTAATAAATTGAATTTTTTGGACAAAATTTCTGGTTAATAAGTCTTTAAAAAAATTAACAAAACAAAAGCGCCAAAAAGCGTGTTTTATTATCATGAAGGCAAAATAAGGTGAACATAATTTTTTAATTGATCTCCTAATAAAAGTGATTAGAGATTACCTTTTCCCGTGAAAACAGAAAAGGCCAGATAATCATATTTTAATGAACCAATTCTTGCTTCGCTTGCTATAAATAAGTCTGTGGTCCTTGCATTATTATACCAAAAAAGAAAGGTGATCAAACAGGTTGCGGGAAAAAAATTAGGAATAAACCGGGATAAACTATGATAGAATGTGGCCCCCACGAAAACTACGGAAAACCACAAAACTGACTATTAGTTTAGTCCAGAACAAGAACAAGGAAAAACGGAATGAAAACCGAAAAAAACCATTCAAAAGAGGGACGAGGTATGACAATTTCCAAAAGCCCCTAACTCAGGAACGTGATCCAGAAGGTCAAGGCGAGACCGTGAACTTATGACAACTGCACACGCAGTAAGAGAAAACTCCGATCCCGACTATGAGTACTTTTTTGAAAGTACCCAAGATGAAGGGACAAGAGAGCCAACTTTACTGTTAAATTAAGTTAGAGCTCAGCAAATTGCAGCCGAGTAATTATCAAGAGGCCTGCGAATTTTAAAGTGAAAAGAATTGCAATATTTAAAATCAAGCAAGAACTCCGATCCCGACTATGAGTACTTTTTTGAAAGTACCCAAGATGAAGGGACAAGAGAGCCAACTTTACTGTTAAATTAAGTTAGAGCTCAGCAAATTGCAGCCGAGTAATTATCAAGAGGCCTGCGAATTTTAAAGTGAAAAGAATTGCAATATTTAAAATCAAGCAAGAACTCCGATCCCGACTATGAGTACTTTTTTGAAAGTACCCAAGATGAAGGGACAAGAGAGCCAACTTTACTGTTAAATTAAGTTAGAGCTCAGCAAATTGCAGCCGAGTAATTATCAAGAGGCCTGCGAATTTTAAAGTGAAAAGAATTGCAATATTTAAAATCAAGCAAAACTCCGATCCCGACTATGAGTACTTTTTTGAAAGTACCCAAGATGAAGGGACAAGAGAGCCAACTTTACTGTTAAATTAAGTTAGAGCTCAGCAAATTGCAGCCGAGTAATTATCAAGAGGCCTGCGAATTTTAAAGTGAAAAGAATTGCAATATTTAAAATCAAGCAGATGGACTTTTGGTTCCCAAAGCAGCATCAACTTCGACGAGTTCAGCTGCAGCTTCCTGCTGCTCATCGAAGTTCCAGATGAGTTTCGAGACCAACACTAATGCTGCAGGTGGACAGGCCGTGAGTGTTTAGTGTATTCAAATATTTACTTATTTCGTTAATAAAAAAACTCTTTAATTGTTATCAGGAGTCACGTCGTCGCGAGACTCAAGACGACAGGCCTGCTGCAGCCGGCCCTCATTCTCAAGCAGCCATTTTGGCTGAGTCCAGCAGCATCTCCTCAGGGGAGGAAGACGAAACGGAGCTGCCCCATGATCCGGATCTGGAAGACTCTTTCGCGCCTCTTCTTGGCACCAACCGTATGTATAAATTTTTTTGTTACCAATTTTGATAATATATAAATAAGCAAATGCAAAAATTTTTATTTCTTTATGCACAAAATACATTTCATTTCTATATATATTTTTAGAAATTTGCTGCAATTTTGCTATTAAAATGAAAAGCTGGGTTAAAATAAACCATCCAAAAATTGAGCGATTTTTGAGGTTTGATTTGCATGTCCCCTCTTCATACCATTCAGGGAGAAATTGCACAATTAATTTAGAATAATAATTAATTCGACACTCTATAATTTTCATATAATTTTATCTAAAACTAATTCCTTCTTAAACATTCTATAATTACATTTTTACTCTCTCTGTTTTATTTCATTGCTCTGTGTGAATATTCAAAACAAGAATTGGTTATTGTATTTGAAATTTTCACCAGGTCCAGCTGCCCTTTCTGCTCCTCGCATGGCAGCCTCAACTTCAGCCTGTGTGCCTGCTTCTTGCTGCTCTTTTAGCATGTCCCAGAGTTTTGAGAGCTAGGAAGACAAATGATGGTGAACAGGCGGCCAACAGGCAGGTTGACTATGACCCGTGTTCAGCAGGCTCATGCGACGTCAGCGGAGCGTCATGCAGCACCAAACAGACCATGTAAGCATTTAGTTACTCACGCGAACAAAATTTTACAAAGTAAACCTAATATATTCTAGCAAGGACCAATTCCAGACAGCGTTGTCCTTCACAATTCCGCATATTGTAAAAAAATTATCACCTGCGAAGAACCTTCCTGTGAGTGTTTAGTTCAAATATATTGTTAAATCCACATGCATTAAAAAAACCTATTTATTTTCTACAGGCGGATGAGTCACTTCGTCGTGAAACCCAAATCGAAAGGCCAGTAGCTGCATCCGGCCCATCTCGTGCACCCAGCTTGGCCGACACCGACAGCAACTCGTCAGAGGATGGTGCGGAGCTGCTCCACGATCTGCTCTTTCGAGCCACTGATCGGCACCCGCCGTAAGTGTAAATTTTTTGTATTCGATTTTGAGCAGTGGAGTCCAACGGCTGAGTTGGCCCTTTTTAATCTCCGTCGAACCGTAAATTAGCTAATTAAAAGCTTGATAAATTTTCCTCATAATTACAACTTAAGTAAAATATTATGATTAACCACAACCTATATTCGGCTCCAGAACTCAATATTCTATGCTGATTTTCTACAGCTGTTGAGCCTAACCGAGACGAGCAGCGACAGCAGAAGAAGAAGGATGTCGTTTAAGGAAGCTCCGCGTCAGAAATATCTTCAGGGCCGGATTGACCATCAGCAATGTGTGGTGCCAGTTTTGGTTTAATCTTTTTGAATCCTAGCTAATTTGTAAAATTTTGTAATTTTTAATTTTCATCTTGTCCTAAATTTCACCCGCCGCTAGAATCGCTAGATGATTTGACCTTTAATCTGAAATGTGTAAAGTTGAGCCATAAGACGTACTATAAATTGAATGTAGCCCCATTTTTAATTCCTGTGAGAATAAGTTGTACTTTTTTAAATTATGATTGATATAAAAAGAATGCAATACAATAAAATATCTTGGATACATGAATTTTTACTGCACATTTTTCCTTTGCCTCAGACATTTTTTTGATTTTTTAATTTCAAAGACAAGCAGAGTAATAATAAGTTTTTCTCTTTTAAATAATTATGTAAATATAATTATTTTTCTTTAAATTCATTATGCCGGGTATTATAATAAGCTTTTTTTTAATTATTATTGAGAACCGCACTGTGCTGCTCTCTGCCGGCAGAAAGTCGAACAACAGCGACCGACAATCGATGAACTGCCACGCCCCCCTTTTTGGACGTCTCGAAAACAACTTCAAAATAACCTTGACGATTGACTCAAATTTTCGAGGTTTTTGAATTTAATTTGCCTGGCAGCCCGTTCCGCAATGTCGATTATTTATCGGACGTCAATAGCCTTCCTGGACAAGTTCGTCCCGGCCAAATTGCAGCCCCTCTGGGCTCACCCTGCAGGTGTGAAATTTGACGTTTTTATCAATGAAATTAATTATGATAAACCACCTTTTTAGGACCAAAGACGGTTTTCTTCTGGGCACCGATTTTTAAATGGGTGAGTTTGCGGAAGATTCTTTAAAAATACCCATAAATATTGATTTATTTATATAGTTCATAAATTAAATTAATCGTTTTTTTTTATCTAGGGCCTTGTCATCGCTGGCATCGGTGACCTCACACGACCTGCTGAAAAGCTAAGCATTGGCCAGTCTGGGGCGTTGAGTGCCACTGGCTTGATCTGGTCGAGGTATTCGCTCGTCATCATCCCCAAGAACTGGAGCCTTTTCTCCGTAAACATTTTTGTGGCAGCCACGGGACTGTATCAATTCACCAGAGCCCTCAAGTGAGTTTTTCTTTAAAAAAAAATTTGGAATTATAGATTTCAAATCACATTTTATTTTAGCTACCAACTGAATCAGAAAAATAAGGACAAGGTGCAAACATCATGAAGAGGATTTGGTAATGTTACTCCAGATACAAGATACGACACAAAGAATAAATCCCAAAGCGGTCCTATTAGAATGTAGATTATAGCTTGGATACAAAATTGCATGTGATTTTTATAACTAAGAAAGTCCAAACCGCTCCGAATGACAAAGTAAAAGTGCAATTCATTTAACTTATTATCTGCAAAATGCACATTTCTGGTTATTATTAGTAAATTGTATAAACATTTTAGAGCAAATTTTTCTTATTGTATCAAAAGAAATTAATACATTTTCACTGATCAATATTGTTGTTGTTTCAGAATAATAGACAACTTCAATTTTCTCTTTTAATTTTGAATCTCCGCAAACATTCGTCTTAATTATACCAATTTTGTGTCTGAATAAATAAATGTTTTGTTATTGTTACTGAAAAATTAAATAGAAAACAAATTAATTATCTCGTTCTACCTCGCAGAAATCAATGCTGAAAATTTTGTAATTTTATTAAATCACTAAAATAATTTCCATAAATTGATTATCAATTGAAAAAACTTCTAGCATGAAATAGGAAAATTTAAATTCGATTCAGGAACTGAAAAATTCTTCTGATTGGATTTAAAAAAAAAAAATATTATGGAAATTGAAGCAGAGTGAAGGCTGGTGCCGCATGGTTCATATTGGCTTGTCACCCAACGCTTCTTTCTCTGCCAAGGTCAAATCACCTATTGCAGAGAGAGTGGGGCATAAAAAGTTTCTTGACTAGCTGGTTATTGTTGGTGGGTCAGAAGAGTCAATGGTGCCCAGCTGGTCTACTGCGTGCCGCGTTCACTCGCTGGTTTGACTATTTTTTTCTAATATATTCGGTCCATGTTATCTTAATTTGGATTTTTATTCAGAAAATTTAAAATTAAACAATTAAATTTTAAGTCAATTAATTGAGCATAATAATATAATAAGCATAAAATTTCATAAAAAAAAAATAATTTTTCGTAAATTTAAAAAAAAAAATATTATTCAGAAAGGAGGGCACCATTAAGTAAATTATTATTGTTTATTTTTGAAAAATATTTTACAGTTATTTAATTATTGGGGCAGTTTAAAAATAATCAATTTAAGGAAAACGCAATTAATTACTTTGGACAAATTAAGTCTACAAAGCCGTATTTTTGAAAATAGCGCACCAGTTGATTCTCCTCCGACAAGCAAGAGATAAGATCGTGTGAGCATCTGTGAGAGATAAATAATTAAAAACATCACAAGTTCCTGAAAAGCGCTGCCGAAAGCAACTGAAAATGCTTTCCGCTCTTTACCAGAGGTCGATGGCCACAATCGGCCGCAGAGTGCCCGAAAGGTTGCAGCCCCTTTGGAAACATCCCGCTGGTATTTTTCGCATTTTTTTCTCTAAAATAGAGGCTTATTTTGCATAAATAAAAATGCTCACGCCTAAACACACCTGCGTGCGATAGCCGTTGACCTTGATTCTCCTTCCAGGGCCACAGACGGTCTTCTTTTGGTCGCCATTATTCAAATGGGTATGGAAATTTTATAAAAAATTAATTTTAAATTTTTTACTTTGATAAATAATAATCAAAATGTATATTTATAAAATTTAATAAAAAAGAGTTAAAATCACAAATTTTCTGTAATTTAAAAAAAATTGAAATTATAATTATCTTTTTGACTCTTCCTTTTTAATTAAAAAGGGACTGGTGTTTGCTGGAATTGGTGATCTCAGCAGGCCTGCGGACCAACTTAGTGTGAAACAGTACAGCTCCTTGGCAGCTACAGGATTCATTTGGTCCAGGCAAGAAAATTACGGAAAAAAAAATTAAATTAAATATTAAAAAGTGAAATCCTTTAGATACTGCCTGGTCATTATCCCAAAGAACTACAGCTTGTGCGCCGTCAACTTTTTCGTCGGACTCACTGGCGCGTACCAAGTCGCGCGAGCTCTCAAGTATATGACGAGTTTGAATCAGTTAATTCGTCCTTTTCGCTAATTAAATTTCTCCCTCAGCTACCAACGGAAGCAGCAGGCTGCCTTGGAAAAGTGATCTTATCGTCGTGTTGAGAGGATGAATTCATTAATTTTAAATCAGATATAAAAAGAAATAATGAATTAAGTCAAAATTTGTGAAAAAGTACAAGTTTTATGATATTAATTTTGAAATCTTATATAATTATATATGTGCACAAGACGATGAATTATTTTAATATAATGAAAATTATCATAAATTCATTTCATTTTTAATTGAGTATTTAATTTGAGCATTCTCTTAAAATTTAAATGATTAACTCAGCCAGATTCAAAGTAGTGACAAACTAAAAAATTTTTATTCAAAAATTTTTTATTTTGGGAAATCTACTTTTTTTCTGAATTGACGGCATAGAGCGTGAAAAGAAGGCGCCTAATTTTCTTATGAATATAAGATTATTTTGTCAACAACATCTTCATCGTTTGGCCTCTTTTCAGCAAATGAGAACGGATGTTTTTGGCGAAACCATTTCCTGCGATTTTCATTTTTGCAAAGCAATTTTGATCATTTTCCATGTCCAATTGGGTTATTTTTGACACACTGACCTCGCTAGCTCGCTCGCTTGTGTTTTTCAGAATAAACGACGTAACGACCGCTCTTGTGGCCGCGCGCCCGACACATTATAGGCCCCAATCAAATCAGCGGGAGCCGCGCTCGTCCGTCTGCTGCCCGTTGCAATTCAGTCTGCCTTGTGACGGCTCCGTCGCTCTCATTAATCTAGTCCTGGATACCCTAAAAAAAAAATAGAGCACCAGATCACCCCCTGCCGATGACGTCATCCTTTGTCCGCAACTCTTCTGATCTCTCTCGGCGACCCGCATTTGATAATAAATAAAAGCATATAATCGACTTGGTACTTTGCGACTTCAAGTGTTGAAATATTTGCGATCAGTTTGTGTAAATGCGCGGTCTATTGATAGCTCACGCGGTGTTTGATGCAAACATTGCGTTTTTCTCTCGATTGAAAGAGAAGACAAAACTTGTAGCTCTATTTGATATTTTTGCAACAATGAGAGTTTGAAACTAATTAAATTAAAATTTTCTTTAAATATGTCAAAAGATATCAAAATCATTGATATAGTAAATACCTCAAAATGAAAACTTACAAATCAAATTTTTTTATACAAAGTTTTACTTCCTCTCTGTATAATTGATAAATACAAGTTTTCGAGATTAAATGAAGTGTGTTTTCTAGTAAAAATATTTGTCTTTAATGGATTTGTATCTTCAAGAATAGAAAAACAAGTTAATCTTCATGCTTCTCCATACCAACTTATTGTTAGTACATATTATTCAATTCCATGGCATGAAGAAGAAAATATACAAAACATATTAAATTGTGAACTAAATTTGCATTTTTTATTTTTATAAAAAGAAGCATCATAGTTTTCATATTTCTCTGATAATTTTATATAAGTCCAATTTTTGGTAATTTTTCAATCAATTTAATAATCCTTTTTTTTCAATTATTAACAAATGCTATTTAATTTTATTTTATCTATCTAATTGTAAAAATCCTTGAACTCATTAGAAGTTTAGGTCGGTTACTGAAATTACGTCCCCGTTTTGTGTGTTTACAATTTTATGTAATAAAATAGAGAGAAATGTTGTTGCAGGGATATTACGTACAAGTGCATTGAACTTTTGTGTTAAATTACAATTGTTTTACGACTCGCAAAGACATTACACGTTGCAATTAATTTCAGGGACACCCAAGTTCGCGCGCTCTCTCTTTCATTAAGGCCCTTTTGCAGTTGTTGATGCGCGCTTGACCTTAATGAAGTGGTATTACAAATTTAGTTTATTGCAAACCAAAATGATAATAAGAAGTTGCAAGTAAGGGGTTTGCATATGATTATACTGACTGATTATTTAATTGCTTAATAAATTATTAATGGGTAATTGTTCAGTAATTTCTATTGTGTAAATTATTATGATTAATTTGTAATTGTTTAAAACAATGCAAGTTGGCTTACACACGGGCTTTATTGTATTCACAACAATTCTGGCTGGATAGGGTAAATTCACTGGCTCGAAATTGTCCGTATAGTGTCACTTAAAAATCAACAAATGGGAGCGGTGTTCCCTGGGTAGGCCGGCAGGCTGCCCTGGAAACGTCCTTGCTGGGAACCTGGACGGCTCCCTGCAGGTCGGCGGCGGCTCTCGGCGCGGCCGGGGCCCACGGCGTGCGGGTCTCTGGCGGCGGACGTTCGGACGCCTTCGTCCGAGCGCTCGCTGGCGGCGTGCCACGTCGGCGCCCGATTCCTCGGACAGGAAGGAGCTGGGGACAAAAACAATGGGTCACTCGGCTGTACTTCCGTCTCACGTAGTGGTTTGACCTTTTGGCCAAAAGAAGGCCTCAGGGAGAAACAATTGTAATTTCTCTTACCTGGCAAAACTGCTCCGTACGGCTTCGGACGGCTCGGCCACACCCCGGACAGTACGATGGACACAGGCGTGCCGCTCGAGGGGCTCGGGACGCGGTCGGCCTTCCGGCTGTCCTCGGACGAGACAGCGTCGGGACAAGACAGCGGTCGGGGCCTTGGGACGGCTCGGACGAGTGCGAAGGGTTCGGACGGGTGTCCGGAACTGCACTGGAAGTCCAGGTGTCCTGCGAACAAAGAGCAAAGGGTTGAATGCTCTCCGTCAGCTGGCTCGAGTGTCGGAGCTTTACCTCGGATTTCTCTGAGGTCAGTCAGCCTTCTGCATCGAGCCAGCGGACGGAGCGCCTTTTATAGCGCGGGTAGCAGCCCTGGGAGGGTCGCGCAAAACCCACCCACCCATTTGATTTACATTGAGAACTTTCTAGATGCATCTAGAAAGTTCTGTGAATCTGCAGTTGAATTCTAAAATGCCTTTATAAATTCCCTTGAAGTGAATTGGAATCCCATGAATTGTACAAGCTAATTCCAATTGAATTTATAATAATTATTTGTAAATTTAAAGCTACTTTAAATTTAAAATAAACGCAAGATTTATTTAAAAGAATTCAACTCAAAACAATTGCCAGAAATCAAAAAAAGAATGATTAAAAAGAAAGCCCTTAAAAAATGAATTTAATTGTAAGCCGAAAATTAATTGAAAAATAATAATAACAAAAAACAATGAAGTTCTCCGATGACACAGCCACAGTCAAAACAAACAAATTAAGAGAGGAATAAAATAATTATTCCACACCAGAAGACTTGTGTTGTTGTCGATGACTTTTTCAAACGATCCATTTCGTCCCGAGCATATAATTTCAATTAATTAAACCTTCATTGGTCAAAGTCAAAATTATTTTCGCCCAGTCAGTAAATTTTAATTATGAATAAATTGACAACATTCATAAATCACAACAAATTAATTAGGTCGTAAAATAATTAGCTTCCGCAGCAAATATTGAAAAATTAGTAAGCTGCTAGAGGGGTGCGTGTTTTTTTTTTTTTATTATTATTATTTGAATGACGTTGGTGCGACGGGGAACAAATTAGTCGGTTATTCCGCGCAAGATGCTCGCCAAGACAAATCGCAGGGCAATCCATCAACTTGGCTGCGGCACGCCTCTGTTAATTAGCGACACACTGACATTTGCCGCCGCCAATCGATTGCCGGAGAGAGACAAAGAACAGTGCGCTGCCTTTTTATTGCGCCTCTTTTTATGTTATTGTTTTGGCGAGGAGGAGCAAAATTTGTAAAAAAAAATATATCGTTAATTTATGTTCTTTTGTTGTAAAAAGTGCTTTCAACATCAAAAGATTGTTAAATAATTGAGATAAGAGGAACATAAAATTGTAAAGCTTAGGGAGTTAAGTACAATTATTAATTTTTATTTTGTTTAACATAAATGGAAATAAAATAAAATAATAAATTTCAAAATATATCTCAATCTTGTCCAAGACGATGACAAAGTTTTTTTATCATATGATTTTGACTTTGACTCAAAATTTGAAAATGAGAAAATCCTATGCGATTTTCTTGGAGATATACAAAAAAAATGTAGCCCGTCTAATTTAGAAGCAATTTGGTAATTTTAACTATATCAAAAGTGAAATCTGCATTTATTCCGCGATCCCTCTTAATTTTCCCACGGCGGAGACAATTTATTGCTTTTTACAAAGGGCAATAATTGACGTCACAAAACGAAAATGAAGTTTCGAGGGGCGCACGTCTCGATGAAAACAACGCGCGCGCAGGTACTCTACAATTAATTTGATTCCTGGCGCAACTCGACACCCCGCGCGTCTCTCATTACTCTGCAGCGCAATTCCTTACATAATCGAAACGGGTGTAGAGCGAGTGTTTTTTTCCCTCTTTCTGGTTTCGCCGGCGTTTGTTTTGGCGCTCTTTCGTGTTCAGGTAAATAAATGGCGAGAAAGAAAGAGCACATATTATAAACTGTTGACTGCGGAGGCGTAAAAACACAAACTCCGGTTGGAATCGACACTCGCACGTCGCTTCTTCTTTTTTCCTTCGCGGATAAGTTTCTGCCTTCGACTCGGATTTCACTCGCGCCGGGGATTTAATCTCGAACAATTGCATTTTATTTTCGTGTGTCGGATCGTTTTACGGCAATTTTTTTTTCGCATTCGTCCTCAAATATTATAATGATGCGAGGACGGTTTCGTTTGAATGCGCCCAACGTGACCGAGGTAGGCAACGTGCTTGGCCCAGATGCCTCGCGTGTTGCATAACCGTTCAATAGCGACTCTAATTTGACAGAGGTGAAGGGGATTTTCGTCGCTTTGTCTCTTTCAAAGGACTGAAATAGAAGTCTTGAGTCGGGTTACTTTTTATCTTCATATAAATGCACCGAAATAGAATATATTCTTTAAATGTCAAAATAAATATTTCGTCTACAAAAACAAGACTTTTCTTTTTTATATAGATTTTTTCAAAATAATTTTGCTAATAAATAAAAAGTTCTGAACATTTTTCCTTCCTTCTTTTAATTGCAAGAGATTAGATGCATCTGCTTAAAATCAAAGATTGCTTTTCAGTACAACCCATTGAATTTTTTAAAATTTCAATGAAAATTTCTCCGAAGAAGTCAAAACAGCCACGAATTGTGAAAAAAATGTGGGTTTTTAACTAAATAAGAGAAATTATGCATTTTTGTTTCACGTATTTTATAAAACAAAATTAAGAATTTTATCGCTGTGCTCTTCATGGACTCATATTATGCTTGAATTATTTACATTATTTCCGAGATGACGCACGAGACGTTGGAGCCAAAAAATCGATTTCTCTCTCTAATGTGCATCTTTCTTAACGAGAAATTGCTCTCACACGTGTGTGTGCGTCTTTGAGTTAATTACATTCGGTGTGGCAATCCAATCAGACACTTTGATGTGCACGCATGTAATATTGCAAGTGCGTAGGCTGATCTCTTGCGTCCCTGAGAGCGCGTGTGTGTTTATTCGTTGGTTTTGCTTTGAACCTTTGCTGCTCTGTCGATACCTTCCCGAAACCCACACAATCGAATCGAGTTTCCAACCGAAATGATCGCACACGTGTGCTCAGAAATATATAATGATAATGTTGGTGTGCCCAAGAGGGATTATGTTTTGCGGCCGCAGCGGCTTTTAGTCGCGCTTGTTTCCCCAAATTCCCTCTGCTTCGTATAAATATAGCAGAAGGACAAGTGTGACCTTTGCTGGATGGAAAGTTCACTTTTTAACAAGATTTCACACCGTTCTAGGAAAACTTAAGCTAGGAAAAACAAGCTTAATTAAGCGGTGCAGTCTATAAAGTTCTCCAGAAACTATTCCTGTGATGATTTTAAAATCCATAAACTCCGAAGCTTTTTTAAAATTTTAAATCAATTAGAGTTTTTTAAATAAAGTTTAGGCTTATTTTTTGTTTAAACAAATATTTTCCAGATAAATAATTGTTATTAAAAATGGAAAAATTATACAAAAGAATTAATGAAAATTTGATACTTTTCTACTAAAAAAAGAATAACCGCATAATTTTAATCAGAAATTTTGTAGTTTAATTTTTCTTGTTCATTCTAAATGATAAAAAAATACGCCAGTCTCTTTTTTTGTAGCTCAAAGGGGGAGAAACTCTTAACCTCCAATTTATTTGGCTTGGCAGAGAGAATATTTTATTTTCCGGTTTTTGATTTCTTTCTTTTTTTTTTGTTCAATTAGTTCCCAGGCTAAAAATGTCTTTTTGTTTTGCGTTGGGTGTGTGTGTGTGTTTTGACGTGGAAATAAACGTTGGTTTCGCTTTTTTATTATAAGCAGAGAAAGTCAATACGAAGCGGCTCCTCCACCAGCACCGCCGTTTTTTCTCTTTTCTGAAAAGCTTTTCTCCCTTGGGGCCAAAAGCTGAAAACACCGAGACAATGCAATGCAAAAAAAGGGAATTCCGCGTCTGTGGATGGAGCAGCGTTTTCACCGGAGCTCGAAATTTGAAATTGGCTGAGACGCGCGCGCGCCTTTCCAACAAACGCGATTTGCCCCCGAAAGAGAGGAAAAGCAAAGCTCAGGATAAAAAAAAACGCACTTCTCTGCTCCACCCTGTTGGACTTTCCAAGTAAATCCAATTTCGTGTCCCCAGAAAATTCAAATTGGCTCAACTCTTTTTATCTCTAAATTATGGTCTAATTGAACCAACTGGAATTGGATCTCGTATGATATTATTTAACAAGATCGCGTGTTTGCCTTTGGGACTGTGCAAATAATTGAGGCAAACGCAAGAGCAAGGCGGAAAATTCGCAAGCGCAAAATCATCATTCGGCAACATTTGAAACGCTTGCTTTGCCCCTCATTTGAATTAATTTGAATATTTTGCGTGGGATTCCAACGATTGCTGGATCCTCTTACTTGTTTTCAATACAAAGAGAGTTTAGGTTTTTTTTAAATAGAGGCCTGACGCATTTAGGAAAGAATTAATTCCCACTAGTTGATAACAAACCGCGGCACATCAAGGATGAAATGATGTCATTGAGGCAAAAATTACCATAAACGTAATAATATGAAAAGATCTAACGAAATTTCCTGGCAAAAAATTGACACACTTCCTCAAATTTCAAGCATGTCATGATATATACAAATGAATAAGACGATTATATAAAACATTCATCCGTTTTTGAACCCATCTTTAATTATAGACCTTAAAATATTGATTTTAAACAATTTTATAAATGATATTGTTTGAAAACTTATTTTTCCCACTTTTTCCAAATAAAAAGATTAAAGAACTGTTTGTTTCTACTTATTCTGAAAATAAAATGTATATATTGCAATTAAAACTTATAATTAAGATTTTGAATGCATAAAAAATTGAAAAACATTCCTTTTCCGCCTTTTTCAACTTTTACAAATGGAAATGTGTCTATTGTGATTCGTGAAACAAAATTAAAAAAAAAACTTTAATGCATATTTTTGAATTTTTTATTAAAGCATTTTTTTTTTAACTTTTGCATTGTAGATTAAACTGTAGAAAAACTAAAATAATTTCTCCTTCATCATTCACAATTAAGATGCCAAGAATGGAAGTGAATATAAAACAAAATTAAACATTTATTTAATCATCATTTATTCATCATGAAAGATGAGTCTCTCTTGATAGCAAATGCGAGCGATCCAGACATTTCCTTGCTCGCTGGCATGATGAGCCTGGCGAGGAGTGAGTCAGGTTTTGCATGAGACACACCTGGCGAATGCGCGCCGCTGACGTCACGCGCGGCGCTGAATGGGCCGGCGGCGCGCGACTGCCGCGGCCCATCCATTCACTCGGCTCGTGGCCCACGGCGGCAGAAGCACTCGCGGCTCCGCTCGGATCGCACGCACACCCCTTCCTGCCCTATTCGTCACCCGCAGACCGCAAAAGACACTTTATTGTGCGGCGAGAGAAAGAAAGACCTCGTCATGTGCTCGCTCAGTCCGTGTTTGCGAAGGAAGCAGTGGCCGGCGGCACTTCTGCAACTTTGATAATTCGCCCGCAAAGTGAGTATTCGGCGCTTCCTATTTTCAACAATTATATTTAGTTTTGCTCTCAATTTAGGCGTAAAATTTCAATATTATTAAAAAAAAATTCGCCAAAAGTAGGTGTGAATCCTTAAATTTTACAAAAAAAGTTTGAAAGACAATTTTTTTCATTTTGTTTTTTATTAAATTAATATTTGAGATCAATTTAATTTTCAGTAGAAATTGAAATTATACATATTTTATGGTAATTAACTCCTTTTTTTGTGTGTAATCAAAACAAAGCTACAGAAAAATCACAAACTTACACCAAATTCAGATATTGCTTTGTTTATTTTTAAGAATCAATCGTCAGGTTTTCCCTTTGACACTTAAGCTGTAGTGTGAATCATAGGGAATGAATTTACTGATTCAAATTTATTGAACGCCTTTTATTCTTTCTTTTGGAGCGAAATACTGAAAAGCATCTTTCCTTCCCGAATATTCCTTTGTTTTATTTCTTTGCTGAATTTCTCTCATAATGAATATTCTTGAAATCAAAATTTAATATAATAATAACACGTTCTTGTCAAACAATTAAAAGAAAATGTTGGAAAAAATTGAAAGTCTCAAAAATAATTAAATCTCCAAAACATCTTTTTCGTCTTAATTTGTTTTTTTTTTTTATCTGATTGAAATAATTTGGAAAGATATAGCTTTAATTGGTCTTACTGATTTATTTAGTCAATTATAAAATAAAATAAAAGACAAAAATGAAATTTGATTAAAAATATTTTTTTTTTAAGAAAAGCCATTTTTTTCTACTTTTTAATTTCACCCTGTATTCTTTTCGTCTAGTTTTTTTTTTATAAAAAACTTTGATTTTAAAAATTTCGATTTTGCGTGTGTTTGAAGGAACGGCGATGCCGAACACGTCGTACCTGTTCGGGAACGACACCGAGTACGGCTGGGGCCCTCGTTACTTCTTCGCGTTCTACAGCGAGTTCGGCGGCGATGGCCGGCGCACAATGGCCGTGCTCGAGGCCACGGCCCTGCTGGCCATCGTGGTCACGTCCGTGCTGGCCAACGCGGCGATCGCGGCGGCCATTGTGCGGTACCGCGAGATGCGCACCGTCACCAACACCTTCCTGCTCAACCTGGCGCTGGCCGACCTGGTCTTCGCCCTCGGCGCGCCCCTCGTCGCCGCCACCAGACTCACGCAGCACTGGACCCTCGGCGAGACGCTCTGCAAGGCCCTGCCCTACTCACAGGTAACAAACATTCAAATCAAATTGGAAATTTGTGTCTTTATTCTTTAAAAAAATTAAAAAAAAAAACGACAATAGTACACAATTTATTACATTCTATATTATTTTTCTACTGAAAAATAAAACAGATCAATCTTCCATGAATCTCGATTAAAAAAATCCAAACTGTAATATATGTTAAATAAATTTTTTTTTTGCATCCAGAAATGAAATCTTTGCATTTGTTAAAACTTCAACTTTTTAAAGTTTAATTTTGTATTTAATTTGTTATTTTCTTTTAAAATCTTCTAATAATATTACAATTTATTATATACAAAAATTATTTTGATATTTTATTTCTTTTCAATTTTTTTATTTTTGTTTTATTTTGCTTTATTGCATTTTCTGTGAAAAATGACACATCTTATGGAATGAGTATAAACACATTAACCACCGCAATGACTCGAGTTTAACCTTGAGCACGTTAATTTGGAGCGAAGAGAGTGTTTGGCTCAAAGTTAATTGCTCCACACAGGCCATTACACCCGGAATTCGTGTTAAAAGTGGCAGAATTTTGGTCCCATTCCAAGTCGTTCCGAGCGTTAATCCCGCCGGCGAGACATTAATAAAGGAGGGCGAAAGAATTCACTTAACGCGCATCACAAAATCGCTTATTTCTCTTAAACTATTATTATCGGGGGAAGAGTTTATCCGCCCTGGAGAAAACAAGGGCGCGCGAGGGAAGCTTTTCTTGGAAGAGCATTTAGGCCGTTGTCTCTCTTTGTCATATTCCATATTTTAATCCGCAAGAGGAGCAACAGCCCCTCTCAGAGTGTTATTCGCGCCAACCCGTGATTAACATTTCCTCATTTTCTGAATCGCTCGAGCGCGAAATACAGAAATAGCCTCCCGGGATTTATCTGAATTGGGACGCGCAGTTTATATTATTTTGCATCTCCAGCACAAAAAAGAAGCCAGGAGAGAGAAACCATAATAAATAATGAGGAAATTTTAAAGAAGAATAAATTGTTAGTGGTTTTTAAGAAATTGAAACTTTTATCTTTTCCCACAAAAAACGAAGTGAAATTATAAAAAAAGTGAGATAATTATTAATTTGGAAAAAATTTAATTGTGAACAAAAGTTTGAAAATGCTTACGAAGAACCTTTCTAGCGTAATCTTAGTGCTTTAATTCTTTTGAATGATGTTGATCTTTCGTTAAATCATATCATTTATTATTACAATTTTAGATCAAAACACTTATTTCAAAGAGAATGTAATTGAAAGCAAAAGTTTTTTTTTTTATTTTCCCGACAAATTTTCTCAGTGGAAAGTAATTAATTTTGCACATCTGTGTTTTCATTTATTTAAGATTTTAATTAACAACATGTGCCGAGTTGTCTTGCATCGCGTCCCGATTTGAGCAATTTAATTTGCTTGCTTGATGGCGTCGCCGCCTCGACAGTTTTAATCAAATTCTCGAGAACCGCAGAACAATTCGCGCTCCTTCTCTCTCGCTCGTGTCTGCCGAACATATTTCGCCTCTCTTGTAAATATTCGCTCTCTCTCTCTCAAGCCTTTTGATTGATGAAGACAAACTGAGCCGCGAACAACAAGCGCAGTGATCCCTGCAGCAAGCCAAGGGAGGCTGCAAACTTTTATTTGCTCTGGTGTTAACCCCAATTGAGCTCGGTAATTCGGTAATTCCGCGCCAAACTAACTAAGCACATGTAAGCTGAAGAGGCGCGGGAAACTTTGTTGCCGCTTCAATTGGTTAATGAAGGTGCGCTCGGATTAGTCGAGCAGAGAAGTCTGGCCCAGAATGACTGATCATTTCAAAGGACGGAGGTCACTAAATTGCGACTTGTCTAGAATTATTTTTTGATATCTTTCCATTTATTTAAAAAAAAAAAGCCAAATTAATAAAATTGCTTCAGTTCGGACTCTAAAGTAAAAAATTATTTAAATAATGAAAAATTTTGTGTAAAAAAATTGTAGGAAATACTGATATTTTTGCATTCCGTTGTTGGATGAAGGTTTTGTCAAACAACGTACCACGCTGATAAAATTTCCAGTTTTCCATAAAAAGAGAGAACGCCTCTTCGTTGACCCTGTTTTCCAGTATCAAAGGATAACCTTTGATACACTCTCAAAGAGCACTTTTAGGCTCGCCATTTTTGATCCCAGGATTCAACATGAAATTTAAGTGGAAATGGCAAAGTGGGTTGACCTTTGCAAGAACATAATAATGCTGAGAACCATTAGAACAGGAAATGCATCAATTCTGAATGAAAAAAAATCAGATGCATTAATTATTAAAGTAGGAGTTTTTACTCCTGCATCTACAAAAAATTTAATAAAATAAATTATTTAATTGCATTTAAAGTTTCAAACGCAGCTGTAAATATTCTTTCGAAATGAACACAAATCATTAATTTGTCCTTAACTTTTGTGTGCTTCAATTGTTGGGAAATAAAGAGACGGAGATTTATAAGAATGGAAGCAAAATTAGGAAAGTAATAACACGTCTGAAATTTTTCCTCAATATTCTCTTTCTCAGAAATTGATATAATTCCACAAAATTGCTTAATGCAGCTGGAAAAGCTAATAAATTCTTTCATTTCTTATCAAAGCAAATTGCAGCCTGACCTTTGAAATGAGCCATTTTAACACAAAGTAATTTTTACTTCTTCTCGGAACAAGCCCTAGTTTTTCTGCTGCTGCTCTTTGCCGAGTGCGCTTATGAATATTATGTCAAGTGCTGAGTGCAGATTTTTAATTTAACGCCAGCGCCGTGTGGAGTGGGAAAAAAAATAAATCGCATTATAAAAGCGTCTATTTCGGTCTCCGTGGCAAAAACAAAAATAGAGCTTGGATATTTTATGCCAAAGAACTACTTTTGATCAATTCGAGGGCGCAGCTGCTACGCCGCAGTTGCAAATTATGGCGCCCTATTATTTATGCACGCAAATTGTATTGACAGAATAGTCGGAACGCGCATAACCCTTTCAACCTCGCCGCACACAACAATAAACGTTGCAACTCAAACTCTGCGGCAAAGTCCTATCCATTAGCATTGTGGCGGTTCGCATTCAAATTCCGACGTGAAACATTTGAAAATAACACACACAAGCAGAGAATATCAAAGTTTACCGCAAGCGATGTTATTTTTTTTTTTTTTTACTAAATTTCCTTGAAAGGAAACAGAGAGCGCTTTTCATGGTAATTGCTCGTATTTTTGCGGCAGAGTGCGTGGGAAGTTTTAATTGAATTGCGTCTGTGTGGCCATAAACATTGTCCATTCCTATCCAACTGCGCACTGAAACGAGCAAATACAATATACCGCATAACGAGGCACTCTGTGTTTGTCCTCCGAAATGGTTTTGCTGACTTTGAATTCGATTTCACTTCAGTACATATTTGTTTTGTGTAAACAAATATTATATTTGATAACGAGAAATTATTTGAATACGACAAAAAAAATCATTTGACATTTAAGTGTAAAAGGGGTAAAAGGCATAATTAAAATAAAAAAATCTTATTTTGTTCTTGACAAATATGATTTAAATAAAAATAAAACCGAAGTCCTCGTTGTAAGAGGGAAAATGTAAAATAAAAAATATATATCAAAAACAGTTAAACAAAAGTTAAATTGGGAGATGGAAATTTCATAAATGAAATAATTTGCATAAATTAATTGAGCAACTGAGTCGGTCAAAAGCTCCATGCTGTGATTTTACCAGAAATTCTTAGGAGAGCTGTTTCGGCAAATCCATGCAGGCCTCATCAGCTAACCTTTCACAATTATTTTAATAAATTACAATCCAATTTTATTTCTATATTTAATTTGAATAAACTCGCCTTTTGGGGTCGGTGGTCCTTTTTTTAAATCTTTCTCTTTTGGTTTCATTTTTTTAATATGTATGTTGGAATAAATAATTATTTATTACCAAATTATTATTTTTGTTTGTTTATTACATTAGTCTAATTGTTGCAATATTTATGATGGTAAAACTTGCAAAATATAATAATTCCACAAATAATGTTCAACTAAGTGAATCAACTTCAACTCATGGTGACATGTAATTAAAATTTTGTATTTTAATAATTAGAACCACATATTTTATATAAAACAATTCTAACAAATGAAAGTTGCGTATAAATTTATTCATTGTTACATAGAAATTTGCATAAATGCATGTTGAAGAGAAAATTTTATATTCTGCTCGTATTATTAAGTTTGCAAAGTTAATACAAAAGTTGCTGCTTCTCATTTGTTCGGAATTAGATGGAATTATGCACCTTGTCGAGCGGGGTTAATTTTCTAGGCCTGTCTTGAATGCATTTCCTCTTCTTGGAGATGCAAACCGCGACTTGAGTTGCACGTCATTGATAATCAAGGCACGTTTTCACGTGCATTATTCACGGCGCAAGGTCAAGAGCGGAAGATGCAGCGAGATTAGCAAATGCTGCAGCAAATTACACGAATGTTGTTGACACTATTTCCGAGAGTGTCCGAATCGGCAACAGGCGAAAACGCCGCTCAGGGGGAAAATTGAATCGGGCCGGGGCGGCGAGGGAGGCAATTTGCATCTCGGCGCCGCAAGAAGTTTATCGAGCGCTCGTTTTTATCGCCGCGGCGCGTCATTATTATATCCCTTAGCAGGGCCTCAATGCACGCCCGGTCTCTGCACTTTGCAAACGACCTGGACGAACGAAAAATCTCCAGGATATGTGCTCGGATGACGAACAATCAAAATGTAATTTGAGAAACGACACATGCGGATGGAGGGCGTGAAAGAAAAATAACAAGTTGTCAAGAAACTTGATAAATATTTCTGTCCTTTCAAAGTGCGCTCTTGCGAAAGGTAAATTCGAGTTGTTCCGAGTGTTGACTGCATTGTGTGAAACTTTAATACATTTTTTATTGGCGATGAATACGAATGTCATTCATTATATTTCATTTAGGCTAAGTCGTGTTCCCTTTGAAGTTTTAATCAGCAACGACAGGTGGTTTAATTTCAACAGACGCGCGTATTTTTATTTTTGGTCTTTTTGAAACGAAATGTATAATACAACCTGTCATCACAAAACGCAATAACGTAGGTTCGGGCTTTGAAAAATGAACGCAGTTTAGTTTAAATATATAAAAATAAACGAAAGTCGTGTGTTTTTGTTTCCATACTCATGTTATTGTTGGACCAAAAACCTTCCGAGCATTGCGAAGTGAGTTTTTCGGGAATTTGAATTTTATTTTTCTTTCCTGATAATGAGAGCCGTTTTTTTCTAAACGAAATGATAAATTTTACAACCTACCCTCATTTATTTCAAAATAGTTGCAAGAAACAATTTTTGAATAAACAAAACGTTTTTCTGTATGCAAAATTGATTTCAAAATGAGAATTTTCTCCAGTTTCTAGAACGAACTAATGATTTGTGTAGAAAATTGTAATATTCAATAAATAATTTCAATGGAAAAGGTCAAGCCCGTGGAAGGTTTTGAATTAATAATGTGTTTGATCAACTATGCATGCATGTGAAAATGTCGCCTAAAGCCTTAATAGTCAAAGCGAGAGTGACCTTTCAAAGGGACGAACATAAATGGTACTTTTCCAGCTTTTGCTTCCGAAACTTTTAGAATTCCAAATACAAAACCTATATCATAAAATTTTGCGATAAAAAGAACTCTCAGCGCATCTATTTATTATCAAAATCATTTTAAATTATGTGTGTTTGTTTTTTGGGTTTTTTGTTACAAGTTTTGAGCGAAACTGAGGCGAGATCTCTTAAATCTCTCGCCGACAGATTAAATCGTTTATATTTACACACGATCGCTCTCAAACTGTCCGTTGGAAGCTTCAAGCTTGTGTATAGCAGTACACCGTGTGTTGCACAATATCAAGTCGCGTTCAGAGCGCGGAGGCGCAAAGCCGGTTGCATACTTTAAGGTCCTTTGCTTTGAACACGGAGATCGATTTTAGCTTTCTCTCCTCGCCAGCGCAGCCTCTGTGAGCTGTTTATTGCGATTTTCCAAGTTCGGAAAGGCTCTCTCCAGTTTAAAGCTCCTGTCAATAGCAGCTCTTGCCTTCTAATTACACTCACACACAACACACCAAATCCGGAGCAAACTTTTCCATTATGCAGGGGTTCAGACTATGCCCGGAGCCACCGGAGTATTTTTCACAAAATTGGTGCTGAAACTCTGCTGAAAATTGCAAACGACACTCCTATTTTCCATGATTTCATGTGTATATTCTAAATTATATGGAATAAAAATTAGTTGAAATTATTATCTTTTGATATTCTTATTTGCATTTTTAAATGAAACTAAATATTTTTTTTCATTAATTATTCACTTGTTTATATTTTTGTTAAATTAAAAAATTCATGTGGATAATGAAAATTAATAATTATAGACAGAAACGAATTGAAAAATGTAAAGAAAAAAATTCAAAATTTAAAAGAAATTTGAATTAGGAAACCCAAAATAATTGCATTCATTTTTTGATATCTTCAAAATAAGGTTTAAAACAAAATTAATTCCAAATAAAATTGGCCTATGAGTGAGAATTACCTGAATTTATTTGCATGTCAGAGGAAACAAAGCTGTCAAAAAGTGGCACACTCGCGCGCATAACCAAGTGTCAGAAGTGTCAGGAGCACGGCGCGTGAGCAAATATTGGAAGCTCGGATCGGCGCATAATTCCCAGCCCATTGAAATGCACACATACACCCTGCTCTGTCACAACCCATCCGTCGCGATGAGCATGCGAAATAAAACCGGAATATTATATTTGCACGATCAAATGCAAAAAACCGTGGGGGTTGCATTCGATCGAGGCGCGACCTTTGCAGCACATTCCGGTGACCCAGATGTAATTTTCCAATCGTATTCAGCGCAATCAGGGAGCTTTCGCCGTTTCACCCCCTCCGCGTAGTGTCTCGGGGGCGCTCGCCACCCTTGATTGCGTTACGTCTTTTCACCCTCGCACTCTGCGCGCCAAACTCAATTAGCCGAGCACCGTTGGTGCCTATGCAACTGAAAATGCGTTTCGCCGCCCTCTAATGTCCGACCTAATTAAATTCATGGCTTAACGCCACCCCAAAAGGTTCCTAATTTTCTGGGGCAGTTAGTTATAAAATAAAAAACAAAAGAAATTCCAAAAAGGGTGGAGAAAATTAAAAATAATAACTTTAAATCTATTTAAATCGTTTCCCATAAATTCGATATAAATTTTTAATTTATTTCACTTCATTTTGTCAACTTGATTGGGCTGATTTGAATTTGGTTAGATGAAATTTTAGTTAATTTTGAGAAAAACTTAATTTTTGCGAATTCCTATAAGAAACAATGTTAAATTTAAAAAATTTTATTCTTCCAATCAATTCAGTTTTTCTTAATAATTATCATAAGAATTCATTCATAGCTGCTTTTTTTGTTCTGAATTGTTTTTAATAAAATGAAAAACTTCTTGTGAATTGAATGTATGAAAAATATTACAAGAAATGATTGAAATTTTGTTGCAGTTTGTGTGCGGAAGTGTGCTGTTGTGGACGTTGACCCTGATCAGCATAGACCGGCACCGGTGCATCGTGGTTCCGCCGTACCGCTCCCGCCTGACCCCGCAGAGGGCAGGCCTGCTGGTGCTGGCGACCTGGAGCATGGCCTCCGTCCTCTTCATCCCCATGACCTTTTGGTTCCACCAGCAGCAGGTCGGCGACCCGCTCGGCGGACCGGACGTCCTCATCTGCACCCTCGTGTTTCCGCAGATGAACGGATTCACCCTTTCCCTCGCCTTCACCGTCTCCGCCGTCCTCTTTGCCTGCGTCCTTCCCATGGTCTTACTTGTGAGTACAAGTTTTTTTACTTTAAATTTTTCCATTTTAACAGAGATCAAAAACTCAAAGTTACGAAAAAAAGTAAATATTTGAATAAAATTCCTATACTTTCTGATTGTTTTCTTCTCATTAAAGTTGAAATGCCACTCTAGAAAATTCCAAAAGTTTTTGTTATTTAACTTTGTCAGCAGTTGAAATTCTTCCACGAAAAAAGTTATTTAAAATTTATAAGAAATAAAGAGCAAATTTTTCCTCCTCCTCTATGATTTCCGAGGAATAACTCTTTTTTTTATCTCAAGTCCTTTGAGCATTTTCTCTCAATTAGCCTCACATTCGAGAGCTAATTAGCTCCTTATCGCGCGCACTTTGTCAAACACAATTTTGCAATTTTCATTTAAACATAAATTAAATATGCATCACGCGTCGCGCGACACGCGAGGCTACTTTGTGATGTAAATTTTCAATTTAATTTTCATTTTGCACACGCGAGAGTTACGCTGAGTAATTAAACACATCGCCCCATTTGCGCCGCGGGTAAAAATTGATTAATTATACACACAGTATATAGGATCTCACTGGAATGGAGCACAGCACAGCGGATATTTTGTATTTATATCTGTCGGCATTGGAATTAATTTCCTTTTCACTTTATATAAACATTTAGATATTCAGTTTTCAATTAATAAACGTAAAATAAGCAAAGCTGATTTTATAATTTGTTTATTTAGTTTTCAACTTTATAAGAGAATGTTTCTTTCGAGGTAAAAATCTCCTCATTTTCAGAGGCTCAGTTTGATATTTTTAATTTTTGAAAGTTTTAAAATAAGCTCAGGCATTATTGCTGCAGTTAAGCTACAGGTAAGGGCAGACTTTGAATTTTAAATGTATTTTTTTGTTTATATAGAATATGCTGTTTTTGCCCTTTTAAATGAAATCCAGTTTCCTTTGTAAAATAAATCTAACGTGGATTCAGAATTCAGAAGATGAGCGAGAAAAACGAATTGAAATGTTCCACATTCAAATTTTATTTGGAAATCTTAATTTTTTTTCAAAACATATTATGATATCTGTTTCAAAAAATATAATTTACACATTTAAAAATCAACGGCAAAACACACTGACAAATTTCCGATTGAAAGTTGAGAAATTTGGAGATTTTAATTCGTTTGCATTGGTTTTCTTGGCTCAAACTTTCTAAATCAAAATTTTTAATTGGAAATGCAATAGTGCCCGGGATTGTAACTCAAGGTTCCTCACTTGTTTCAAATTGAAAATTATGTTTACATAAGTTTTGAAAGTTTTTAAAACATCCAAAAGATGCACTCGTAAGAAGAAACATGAAAAAATTTGCTCGATTTTTTTCTCTTTATTGGTAATTTAAGTTTTAAAAATTGATGAGTTGAGCTTCCAAAATAGTATCTTGTTTGACAGATCTTGAAACTAATCTTTTTGTTGATTTTGCTCCAGGTTTACCACTACCAGCGGATCTTCCACAAGCTGCTGACGACGCGCAGCCGGTGGATGGTGCCGGCGAGCAGCTCGCTGGGTCCGCAGGTGGCGGCGGCGGCGTCGGCCGAGCTGGAAAAGGTGCGTCGCGACAGCCAGATCAGCTTCACGGGCATCGTGGGTCTGAACAAGACGCTGCGCAAACTGTCCGTCAACAGCCGCATGGCCGCGCCCAGGGGCTCGGTCTCGATGACCCAGCACGAGGAGCTGCGCCTCTCCAAGCACCTCAGGGTGGTGCGCGTGTTGCTGCTCAACGTGGTGCTGGTGCTGCTCATGTGGCTCCCCATCACCCTCGTCATGGTGCTCATCTACATCGACGGACGACGCTCCACTGCGGCACCACTCTCAGACTACTTCCTCAGGTAACAACGCAGTTCTATGCACAAAAATTATTACCATTTATTTTTATTGGTTCTTTACACAAAAATTGGGATCCATTTCATTTTATTTGAGTCAAATTTAAAGTATAATGAAGTATGAAAAAAATTATTTTAATTCATTTACTTAAAACTTGAGAGCTAAAAAAATTCTATAGTCCAGGCGTATTTTTGAATTTTTTTAGTAATCTTTCTATTCCTTGTACAGACATGAGACAAACGCCATTCAATAGGAAGTTTCATTGGCTTTCAAAAACTTATCAAGTTTATTAAAATGTGGCTATTTTTTGTGCCAAAATTTTTGATTTTTTGCACAAAAGTACAAAATTTGTCATTTTTTTTATTGGTTTTCTAGCTCTAGCTCTTGTGGAAAACATTTTAGAGAAAAATATTTCATACAAAACTTGTAGGAAATTTAATTTTGCATATTGTTTGTATTCAACATTTTCTTCTAAATCCAAATCGGCAAAAGTTATAAATGCGGAAAAGTTGAAAAATGAGGTTTTCTGCCCTCAATGTTAACCTTATACGGGCGAAAATCAAACATGTGCCTAGAGGGCTCAAAATCACCGAGATGTTGCTCATGCTGCCCTTATATAATTATGGAATGAATCGTGTCAATTTATATTTATAGAAATTTCCTCTCATCTGTTCAAATTTGAGAAACATAAAATTGAAATATAGATAATATTTTACAGTAAAAAATTCATTCCAAGTTCGTCAAATTTGAACGACTTGAGAAGAAAACCTCATTTTTCAACTTTTCCGCATTTACAACTTTTGCTGATTTGGATTTAGAAGAAAATGTCAAATACAAAAAATTTGCATAAATTAATTTCCTACAAGTTTTGTTCAAAACATTTTCCTCTAAAATGCTTTCAACAAGAGCTAAAGCTAAATAAACCAATAAAAAAATGACAAATTTTGACCTTTGTTCGAATAATCAAAAGTTTTGGCCCCAAAAATAGTCACATTTTAATAAACTTTAAAAGTTTTTGGAAGCCAATAAAATTTCCTATCGAATGGCGTTGGTCTCATGTTTGTACAAGGAATAGAAAAATTACTACAAAAATTCAAAAATGCGCCACCTTTCAAAGGTACTTTTTACCTAGAAAGGGTAGCGGCGCGGCAGGTGAAAAGGTGAAAAACTTGGGAAACTTCAGAAAGTGTATTCCAATAGATGGTAAAAATTCAGACTGCCATGAATTTTCCGTATTACATAGCGTAAAATGCTTTAGATTCGTGGACTATAATAATATTTAATGTCTTCACTGAAATTAAAACTTCTGAAACTCTCAACCTTTTTCCCGTAAGATCAAATGTAAATTTTGAAGTTGAGGATACTTATATATTATTTTTCAATCTTAAATGGGGTAATTCGAACGTGATTTAGTGGAATTTTTATCAATTTTTGTCGGGCTAATTTTGAGAAAAAAAATATTTCAGAAAATTCAGGGGAAACCCTTATTTGTCCGAAAAAAAGACATTCGAAATTTTTTTCCAGCATTTGTCCAAAAATTATTTATCAGAACAACTGTTTTTATTTATCTGAAATCTATTTCCAATGATTGAAATTACTCCTTAGAACTGAAATCTACAAACCAAAGCTACTGTAGAGAAAAGTTCCGATCAAAATTATTTGAGCTGATCTTCTGCAAAGCCTCTCGATCCTTTCTGGAGCTGATCTGCTTTTTCTTGGTTCTAATTGAAATGGAGACTAACAGATTAATTAATACCCTCTTTTCGGGCCCCCTTTCAATGAAGCCTCTCTTTCATGCTATATCACATTTCAGAAATCAATTTGGCTTGTTCTTGTGTGTTTTAGGTCGTGTCACTTTGTGTGGGCGCTGATCCTGGCCCTCCTCAACACGGTGGTCAACCCGCTGTTGTACGGCGTCTTTTCCGAGAACTTCCGCGCCTGCCTGTGCAAGATGTGGGGCGGCGGGGGCGGCGGGGGCAGCGCCAACGTCACCTGCGACCTGGCCAGGGAGGCCGAGGCCGGCGGCCGCAAGTCCAGCACGGCCAACCGCAACTGCAGCAGCGGCGCCGCCTCCAACAACGCCCTGCCCAAGCCCGCCGCCCCCGGCAGCTCCGCCTCCGACAGGTCGCCCTCGAGTCACAAAAACCTCAACAGGACCAAATTGTAGAACTAAAAACATTCCTTTCTCTCAGAGAATATATTATTCACACGTTTCGTCGATTGTTGTGATGCCAAAGATGGACTCTATTTTTCTGTGGCGGAATCTTCGTGTTGCAAATTTTAAATCTTCTGTGTGTCTTGTTTGCCGAGACGTGTGTTTTGAGCAAATTGTGCGTATATTTTTTGATCATTTGACTGCTGCGATTAAAATTTGGAAGAAGAATGGAACTTGTACATTTAAACTATTTAATGTCTACACTTTTCTCCCGAATTATGCATTTAATGTGTATTTTAATTGTGAAACAATAAAGTAAATAATTAATTTCAAAATCATCCCGGTTTTTCTTAATTATTATATACATTTATTTTAATTATTACAAATCTATCTTTTAAATAAATTTTTATATTTATTTATTAAAAAAAAATCATATTATTTTACTTTTTTATTTGCTAATTTTCAGGAAATTCAATTATTTTTTTTTTTATAATATAATATCAAAGTTGAACAAAATAATTAATTAATACAATTAAAGAAACTTGTGGAATAAAAAACTCCATATAGCCAATTATAGCAAAGATAATTGTGAAAACGTGAAATTCAGTAAATCTTTAATACACACAGTCAATGTGTTTGCACGTGGCGCTGCGTTTTTCGCGGTCTTTGGTGGTAAAAACCCCTCCTCCAGGTAGTCCAGGTGAGGAGGGGGTGCACTTTCCATGGAAAGGGGGATGCATAGCTGCCTCAGCTGATCAGACAAACAAGTCGGCTTTGGAAGATGTTTGGCGAGCTGTGCCGACTTTGCGAGCGTCCGGCGGCCGACGGCGGCCACCGAGCGGCCGAATTGGACAAGGACAAGTTGGCCGAGTGGTGTTTGAATTTCTTGGGCACTACTTTGGCCGAAGAAATCGACGACCATGACCTCTTCTGCTACTTTTGCGTCCCGGACGCTAGGTAAATTTTTATGAAAACACAATTAAATATAAAGTAATTAAAACAAATTAGGTACCCAAATTACACAAAGGGTGGAGGAAGAAATCATCTTAATCTGTCCGTGTGATTTGCACTTTGACCTTGTTCAAGCATTAAAAAAGCATTTAATTTAGATTAGAGATATAAAATTTTATAATCTAAAACAAAAATCATTTTGCAGGTTTTATCGTGAGGCAGCTAATAATGTCTTATATAATATCAAGAATTGTGATATTAGCTGGTGGCCAGAAGAAGAAACTGACAAAGATGCTCTCGAGCTGTATAAAAACTACACAGGTGAAGAATAATGCTTTTAAAATGCCATAATTGTAAATTAATTTGGAAAACATAATTTCAGCTGGAAATGTGCAGCAGTGTTGGGTTTCTTTGGAAAAATTGCCAAGTGAGGAAAACGCCGATGTTGGAGGAAAGGCAGAATCAAGGTTTAAAAAGAATTGCTGCTACTGCAACAAGCAGTTTGTTGAATTGACTCAACATATACACAATAAGCACGCATATGTTGCAATTAAATGCAATTATAAGAAAAACTGCAACAAATTCTTTAAAACTGTCGAGGAAAGAGACGCTCACTTAAATGATTTTCATTTTAAGCCGAAAATAGAAACTCTTTCAGACTGCATTTATTGTACTAGAAAAGGTTTAAAAAATGCGACTCTGCATAAACATATAAAATTAAAGCATCGTGATGTGGCAATCAGGTGCAGTATTCGGAATTGTGCGTTGTACTTTCAAACTCAAGCAGATATGGACTCTCATTTTGAGGCAAAACACAAAACATTTGAAGAAAATAAAAGATATAAATGTTCAATCTGCGATTATAGAGCAAATACTAAGGATTTCATAGCAAATCATGAGGCAAGAATTCACAAATTAAAAAAATTAATAAAATGCCCAGAATGTCCGAAAACTTGTATTAGTAAATGTGCTTTGAGAAGTCACTTTGATTTTACACATAAGTTTAGAACATGCCCTTCTTGCAATTTAAGAATTAGAATTTCAAAATTCCGTAAACATTTTATAAAACGTTTTTGCATCAAATGTAAATCCAGTTTCGATTGTTTGGAATTACTAAAAAAGCATGAGAAGAATTGCAAATATGGATTAACATGTGCTCTTTGCTTGAAAAGTTTTAGGAAAAAATATTTGTTGAAATACCACATGAACAGGAAGCATTTAATTCACAATGGACAAGCTTCAAACTCCAAGACAAGTTTTAACTTTCACCAACTGAAAGGAATCAAATTAATCCCAAAAAAAATGAATTGTGCTCACTGCAGCAAACCATTTTCAACAAAAAGAGATCTGAAATCGCACTTGGCATGTGTTCACAATTTGATAGAGAAAAATCATTGCTGCAATCAATGCTCGGAAAAATTTATTGTTGCTTCAAAATTGAAACGCCACATTCGCATTGTGCACTTAAAGGAGAAGGCAAAATGTACAATTTGCAACAAAGAAATAAGTTTGAATTCTATCAGAAGTCACATGATTCACATTCACTGCTTTAAGTATTGTAAAAACCAATCGGAATATTCGTCCATTTAACATTATTCTCATATAACTTAGAGGAGAGTATGATGTGAGTTTAACTTCTTAATGCTATGCCCAATGCCCACTTATGTTTATAAATATTTGACTTATTATTTGATTCAATTTTTTTTCTAATTTGGTAAAGTGGTTAGAGAATAAAAATAAGAAATTATAATTAAAAGCAATTTTAATTTCTTGTTTTGTGTTTTAGTTGATCTCTATATTTCGTTCATGTTTTTAGTGAATTATAATTATATTTTGTATTTTCTTCATACATGTTTTGTCCAGAAATGTTTCTGATTTACTTAATTGGTTGAAAATCGTCTTTTGCTTTTACTTGCCATTTCATCAAGACTTTGTTTAACAATTCAAATCAATAAAAAAGGATGTGTATAAATTTGATGTATAATTTAACTTGAAATATAAATAAAAAAAATTGGAACAATCCCAATACAGGATTAATGATGCATTAGATTAGACTCACTTTTCTTGTATGAGAGCAAACCAAGCAAGTCCCAAACCGTTTATCGAGTAAAAGTGATTTTTGCTAAATCCCTCCAAGTCTCATTTTGTCGTGTTCAATCTCAGTTAAAATTTTATGTGGGTTTTAATAAATTTTTCTATAACTTTCACTTTTATTTGTCACAGAGATTCACTTATAACTTATTTCAGTTCACTGCTTGAAAAAGTGAAACTCAATCACCAAAACAAAATTCAATTCCTTTACAGTTTCAAGCGGCATTTGAAAATATCAAAAGTAGGAGTATTTATAATATTAGTTTTCCTACAAACAGCGAGAAGCAAAAAAGTGAGAGAAAAAGCAGAGAACATGCCGCGTTATAAATAAAAGAAAATTAGCTCTGAATTGGCGTCAATCCAACGCAGGGAGGCAATCACTGGCCGTTTGTTTGTACACAAAATATATAAAAAACAATAACACGGCTACCCTGATTCAATTTTGTTATATTCCGGTTCGATACACTCACGAGAGGAGGAAAAATATAATTATATCAAACACAACCCAGATAAAAGTGAGCTGTGTTTGTTGGAATGTGTCACAAAAATGAGGGCGACCTTTCCGAGCCTCATAATTCCTGCAATGCTTTCTTTCGAGAGACTCGGCGAGATTTTTTAATGAAAACAAAAATTCAGAGAGAGAGAAAAAGCAAACACCGCAGAGACGCGTGTGTGTCCATCATTTGACTAATGGAAAATAATTGAAAATACAATTTTGCATGACCCATTTTTCCTTTTCTACAAATAAAAGCGAACGAGAAAAGTTTAAAACCCGCCAACAAAAGCTTCTGCTCATGAAAGTTCACCAGGAAAATAATTATGTAAGCAACACAAATGAAGCACAAATGCTATATATGTGATAAAAAAAGAAAGTATATCGGCGCCCGGCGGCATTACAAAGAAGAGGAAAACTTACTATTGCAGGAAGAACTCATTTAGGCATCGCTGATTTTACAAGAAAGTGGGACGATGAATTGTGTTGGGAAATATTTATAGCAAAATAAGAAATTTTAACAAAACGAATATCGTTTTTTTAATAATTTCCAATTATATTATAATCGGATTTAATTTAATTGAAAATTTCCAATAAAATATCGCATTTCATTTCGAAACAAAATCATTTCTGGGTAGAACTAAAAAATTTTGTAATTTCTCTTTTGAAATATTTCACGCGTACATTATTATTTTTTTTTGTCACCCTTTGACGCACAAACGGCGCCTGTGGGGATGATTTTTCGTGACGGATTTTTTTCTTCGTTCATATTCACGCTTTGATCTGTTGAAAATGTCAATTGTGAGCGTGGGAGTGTGTGTTGTGATCAAACGCTTGATTTGCACTGAACCCACGCGCCAGTGCAATATGACAATGGATTTTTCGAGGCTATAAATATAAAGTATGAAATATGCCAGGGTTAAGCTTTTAATTGCATTTTTACATATATAATCATTTCGGTATTTGGTTCAAAAGAATCCCTCCATCCCCATTTGTCTCTCACAATCGTTTTCTATCTTTACTGGAGGAAAAAAACATCTCTCATATTTTTTGGTTCAGTCCGGCTGATATTTGTTGGAGGAGAAGTAATTAAGAGGCACGATTTCTCTCTTTCGGGCTGAATGAGCAACGTGAAAAGCAAAGCGGCTCTTATTTTCTTGATGAGTTTAGATTCGCTTGAATGGAATTCTCTTTGTCTTCATCAGCAAAAAATATATTAAATTATTGGAAAATTTTCTATACACGTCACTACAGAAATTGATTTATTATATTTTTGATTTGACCCTTGGAAAAGAGCTAAATATATAATTTCATTGAGACTTTTACTGTTCCATTTGCGAGATCAACAGCAACGCTTTCAGTTATTTTGAATCACCAGCAATGGATTCATGTGCGCAACTATAACTGATAAAACTGATTGACCATGACTGCAGGTCAAGTACAAACATACATAAAAATGCACTTTCTCTCGTCGGATGCATAAAATCAGTGCAAGAGCAGCAAATTGAATTTTTCCGCAAATGGAAAAAGTTCTTTGCCTGCGCTGATCTTGTGCGCCCGTCGAGCCAAAGATATATATTCTAATTTTAGATCTCTTCGGCCTCTCTTTCTCTCTCATCCCTGCGATATCAGAAATGCACAAGAAGCATCAAGCGAGCGAGAGAGGAATCGTGTTCGATATCGGAGGGAAAAGTTTTCCTCAAATCCGGGGACTCGTCGTTTTTGTCAATTGATTGGTTTTCGATTTCTCGGCGGATTGTTTGGCTTTGAGCGTAGCCTAAAGTTGGAAAAAAAAAACAGGAGGGACTAAAACTGAACTTGATTGCTTTTTACCCTCTGTGATTGATGGACTGCGATTCAAATCGGGGGTAAATAAAATCCCACAAATTTAGAAACTTGGCCTCCAATTAATATATTTAATTGTTTAAATATTTTAAGGAAAAAAATAAAGCAGTTTTTATTATACATGGGGAAAAATCCAATTCTGGGACAATTTTTGGACAAAATGACACTCTAGAAACTTCACGCAATTTAATTAAATTGGCAAAATAACCTTCAGCCTAAATATCAAAAATTTTATAAAATTAAATTTTCAGCCTTGTGTTGAATTGTGAAGAAATTATTCTGAAAGAATTGTTTTATTTTTATTATTTTAGAACATGTTGAAATCCGAATTTTCCAGAAGTGGCAAAATGCACGCTGAATGAAGCAATTCTACGGATTCAGAAGTTTATAGAGTTAGTGCGATTCAGCCTTGAAAAGTTGTCGGCAGGCAACCAGCACAACAGGCGAGTCGAGCCAGTTGCTGCGCACAACAGTTTGATTCAGACAAATGCAGCCTGCCTGGCTATTTATGAAACAATATCATTTGTTCAAAGTGAGATTTAAAGTTCACCCTTTGTTAAAAAAAGAAGTCGTGGAAATTCTCTTGTTAAACAGCAAAGGCTGAAAATAGAAACAAATAATCTCTCCACCTTTTATAATTAGACACGACGCGCAGAATGTGCAGAAAAAGGGAATCTGGGGCAGTGGAATTTTTCTCCCTGCTGCTTTCATATTTTCGTCACTTTCTTTCTCTCGAGAAAAACACGAAGACAGCAGTGTATGCACGAATCATGTCAACGGCCCCTTTCTCTCTGGAAAAACAAGAAAATCAGATCAACAGCGGGGAAAATCGAGCACACACGTCCGCGTATTTGCTTTTCCGTTTAAAAAAGGGGTCGCTTTCGGCGAAAGCTTTTTCAACGCACACGCTTATTTTGAATACTTCGGAATTAAAATTTTCTTTTCTGCGAGAAAAAGTTTGAATTAAAAGCTCGTCTTATGGCTGTTTGCACACCACTTTCCGCCATTGCTGCAGTTTTCACAGTGCCAAGTGCAGCCCCGCGGCGCTCTCTCGCTTTTTCCACACTTGCGCTGTTTTCCCGATAAAAAAACGTACGCTCAGCTCGTCAGTAAAGTTGCTAAATCATTGATTAATGGACTTTTAATTTATATTCAACTGCCTCATTCGTACTATATGGAAGGAATTATATTTTTAATTTCTTAATTTCTTTCAATTAATACACTGAAATTTGTAATAAATACTTTAAATTTTAATATTACCAATGAATATAAAAAAAGAAATGTTTATTTACAAAAAATATTTCACTTTTTATTGTAAAAATTTGTAGGCAAACTAACAATGTAAGTAATTTAAAAATTATAATTTTAAAGAATAATAAAAAACGTGAATAGTTAACCAAAAATTTATACACAAAAACTATTTAATGTGATAATATTTACGGAAATTGTATTTTCTCATGTTTCAATAAAGATGCTCATTAATTATTTAAAGAATGAAAATTTCTATGGGACAGAATTAAGTAAAATTCACAAGTAAATGCATACCCAAATTAAAAAACAGATTTAATAATTGAAATGTGCCTCAACTTGAATTTAAACGAAAAGCTTCAATTCCTGTTATTGTTATTACACTGCTAAATTGAATTTAAGCTTCAATATTTATCAATTTTTGCATAAATATCCTTGCCAGGTTCTACATTATGTATCTTCTTATTAATTTTGAATACACTCTTGCCAATTCGTTGCAATTTTCTAATATTTCTTTAAAATAATTGTTTTATATATTAATCAGTCACATAAATTATTCTTAAAAAGTAAAGAAAAGTGAGTATAATAACTGAAAAAAAATTGACTCAGAAGTCGGGAACATAATGGGGAATTTTTTAATGAATTTTTCCCATAATACAATTGAAATTGCAGATTTTCATATTTTGGTTGGCATCACTGGTTAAAAAAGTGGCCAAGTTCATTTGAGTGGCTCGCTAACTTCACGATCGCCATTGAAAGCGGAAAATTGACTTACCGAACGTAAACACGGATCGTTTTTAATTTAATTGCGCTTGAATTCGTCCAACTTTCGGCAGTTTCCACTCGTCAAAACCACCTTTCATCGAATTTCCCTAAAAATGTAAACTCGCTGGACCGAAATGATGGAAAAACGACTAATTCTGTCGCTGCTGCTCTTCGCGCTGGCCAAACTTTCGGCGGCGGAAGAAGATTCGGCCGGCGAGCAAGGCAAATTCGAGCCGTGGAGTCCGCTCGTCAATTGCTCCTTCCTGTAATTATATCATCTCAGCCTTGTTTGGTTTGATAATTTTAATTTGGTGCTTTTTCAGTCCGAGAGAATTCATCGAGTGCGACGAACCCGTGGACCACAAGTTCAACAAATCGGCCAAGCAGAAGTTGGGACACGGCTGTGTCAAGGCACGGAATTTCTCCTTATTTAATCATTAAATGATTGTAATTTAAAATCTGCAGTTTGGAGGATACAAGTGGGAAGACGTGGAAAAGACCAACGTCACCTGCAGGGTTCTCTCCGACATCGAGTGCTTCGGAAACAGAACCTTCTTCAGGGATGGAGTCCCTTGCATTAGGTAATTTTCTAAAAAAAACAACCAAACTGAGATTGAATCTCAAGTTCTTATTGAAAAAGACTTACTTCAAATATTTTTTTAAATTAATTAAAGAAATTTATTCCTATGAGATTTTTTTTTAATTTTTAATGGATAGAATAATCATTTTTTGTCTCATTCTCAGGTACAGTGGACACTTTTTTGCCACGACCCTGCTGTACTCGATCTTGCTCGGCTTCCTCGGCATGGACCGCTTTTGTCTCGGACAAACCGGCACAGCGGTCGGGAAGCTTTTGACCCTCGGAGGGTTGGGCGTGTGGTGGATTGTGGACATAATTTTGCTTGTGACCAACGGACTGATGCCCGAAGACTTCAGCAACTGGAACCCTTACGTGTGATCTTCCTAGTTTGTTAATTAAGGTGATAAAAAGCTGTCCGATGACGAGAAACAAAGAACATAATAAATTTTTTAAGAAGAAAAAATTGTCCAAAAAATAAACCAATTTAATTAATTCTAAAAAAATTACAATTTTCCATTCTATTTTATATATTTTTATTATTATTTTTAATTGTTTTGAATTTCCCTCTATAGTTTGTTTTGATTTCGGACGAGGTGGGCGTTTTTCAGGTTCAGAGAGGGGCGTGTTGACTTTGGCCCACTTGGAAGAGACAAAATAATCACCAAAAAACAGTTGTTTTTCATTGATGTCAGCGTAAACGAAGCCAGGAATAGTTTTCGCAACTCTTCTGAAGATAAGATCTATTGATTGGGATGCAATTTTTCGACATGAAATGGCTTTGAAAACAAGTTTGAAGTTGTAAGTACTGTTTTTTTTGTAACTCTCAAGATAATCAATTCCTGGATGTATGTAAATATTTACTTTTCTGTTCTGTCTAATTAGCAAAAATTATAAAGTTTATTAAATTTGGTTCATTTTCTTATTTTACAATTAAAATTAATTTTGTAAAGTTCTGGCATTTAAACTACAAGACGAACAATTTTTGCCTTAACAAAAATAGCTCCGTTATCTCTCCATATTTGGCTAAGCTCATAAAACAACACCAAATATGGTCTTTATATCATTTGTAAATATTCAAAATGTTTGCAGGCGGCTTCCATACCAGGTGCACAGCTACGCACAAACTCTTCAAGCCTTCAAATTCTCGACCCAGGAAAACAACGACCGGAGCAATTACAGAAAATCAATTTACAAAAATGTCGTCGGAGCCACTTTTGTCGGAGTGGCGAGTTTCGCCCTCTACAGATACCTCGAAGGTAATTTTTTTTTAAATATTGTACCAAAGTAATCATTTTCAATTTTTTCAGATGAAAAGAAAGTTTTAGCCGCAACCGAGGAAATAACTCAATCAGGAAATGTGAAGGAAGGTTTGCCCTTTTACTCCTTGGACGAGATCAGAAAACATGACAGCAAGGAGAAGAAAATATGGATCACTTACAAACAGGTTGATTAAGCAATAAAATCGATGTATTTTTAATAATAATTTTTATTTAGGGTGTTTACGATATAACGGAATTCATCCCGAAGCATCCCGGCGGAGGAGAAAAGATAATGATGGCCGCAGGAGGGTCTGTCGATCCTTTCTGGATGATCTACGGAGTGCACAGAAACCAGGACATCCTGAACATGTTGGAGCAGTACAGGATTGGTATTTCATTTTATTTTGTAAATATTTTTTTTTTAATTTTGTTGATTAGGAAACTTATCCGAGGAGGAGTCAAAGATTTCCGTGCAAGACATGTCTGATCCGTACGCCTTTGAGCCCCGCAGACACCCTGCCCTTCAGCCCCGATCGCTCAAACCCTACAACGCCGAACCTCCTTTGAAACTCCTGGCAGACAATTTCATCACTCCGACGTAATTTATTCCAGGATTTCATCTCTTTTTTTATCTTAATTTTCAGGAATTGAGAACAAAATAAAAAGGCAAAGCTACGCATTTTGCAATAATAACTCTAGATTGTATTTAAAAAAATTGATCAAATTTCCAAAATTCTAGAGAGCTGTTCTTTGTCAGAAATCACCTGCCTGTACCTGAAATCGACATTGCCACTTACGAAATTGAAATCGAAGGTGTCGGACTGAAACCCATCAAGTTGAATTTGGAAAAACTGAAGAAATTCAAAAGGCACACAGTGACGGCTGCGGTCCAGTGCTCGGGAAATAGAAGAAGTGAAATGATTGAGGTTGTTAATTAAGCTAAAATTCAATCCATTAATTATGTATTGATTCAGGTCAAACCTGTCAAAGGTCTGAGTTGGGGTCAGGCCGCGATCGGAAACGCCACTTGGACCGGAGTTCGACTCCGAGATGTCCTTCTCGCCGCCGGTTTGAAGGAAGACCCAAAAGGAGTTGAACACATTCAGGTAAATTATCATTCTTTTGACTTATTGCAATAAAATTTTTATAAAAATTGAACAGTTTGAAGGGCTGGACACGGATCCGTCGATGAATCCGTACGGAGCTTCGATTCCAATTGAAAAAGCGCTGGATCCAAAGGGAGACGTCCTGCTGGCTTTTGAAATGAATGGTCAGCCTCTGACCAAGGACCACGGCTATCCTGTCAGGGTTGTCGTACCTGGCGTCACCGGCGCTCGAAATGTTAAATGGCTAGGTAAATTAATAATTTTGTTTCAAAACCAAAAAATTATTAAATTTCTTTAGGGAAAATAATTGTTTCCGGGAAGGAAAGCGATTCGCATTGGCAGCAGAATGACTACAAAGGATTTTCGCCAAGCACGGACTGGGACACGGTGGATTTCAGTTCTGCGCCGGCCATTCAAGAGCTGCCTGTGATTTCGGCCATCTGCGATCCCATCCAAAACGAAAAGGTCAAGCCAGTCAATGGAAAAATCCCAATCCGAGGCAATGATAATGATATATTTTGGTCCTTGTGAAAATCATTTCCAAAATTTTAATCTCTCAGGCTATGCGTGGTCTGGCGGTGGCCGGAAAATAGTCAGGGTCGATGTGACCTGGGACCAGGGTAAGACGTGGAGTGTGGCCACCTTGGAGCAGGAGGAGGCCAAACACCCCCACCACTGGGGTTGGTCTCTGTGGAAGGTCGAGGTCCCAGTTCCGCAAAACGCTGACAAGGTATATTTTCAGAATTGTCTTTTTCGTTTTTATGTCTAAGAAATTTTTTGTATTCAGATCGAAGTTTGGGCCAAAGCCGTGGACTCGCAGTACAACTCTCAGCCGGAGAGTTTCGCAAACATCTGGAACCTGAGGGGCGTCCTGAGCAACGCCTACCACAGGGTCACAGTCAACATCGACAAAGGCAAGAAGTGAAAAGGTTAAAATCAAATTTTGGTGTAAAACGGGAATATTTTTAATTGTTTGTTAATAATTTTCTTTTCATCCGAAGCTTTTCAAGAAGCTGAATTTCAAGTGGTGCTCTTTAGAGATTGAAAGATACAAAAAGCCGTTCTTGGTTGTGGTAAAATCGCAATAAAAAGCTTTATTTTTATACACACAAGCGACTCGTTTTCCTCGTCTGTTTTTAATCTTGGCACGCGTCAAGTGGCAAGAAAAATGCATCTCTCTTGTTCTTGCACTTTCAAGGGCGGATATTTTATTGCATGTGAAGTTGCAGACGCACTCTCTGTGCAACGTAATTTGGGTGATGCCGCAGGGCGAGTCTGATAATTTGGCCGAGGCGGGAAAAGTGATTCCTTTATGTTTGTTCGCAAGAGCGGCACATCTCGATTGAACCGCGCGCCGGCCTAGGCTAGGCTGGAAATGCTTCTCCTTGCGCTTCGATCAACTCCTGGTTGTATAAAGTTTCAGCCAAAATTATACTTTAATTTCAATTTTCACTGTTGAAGAAATTCTTGAATATAATGAATACAGAAGGCGATTTACTTTAAATATTTTATTTAAAAAAAAATACCCTCATTAATTTTGCTACCATTTAATTGAGCAGTAAAATTGTTTTATTTCAGTTTATAAAAAATATTACGAACTTTTCCCCCTCTAATTTCTCATATTTTGGAAAAATTCAGTTTCTGCTTTTGGGAATTAATTTTTGATGATGAATTATTTAATTTAAATTATCGCTCAAATTCACTTCATTCGCAGAATTCTTGATCTAAAATAAATTAAATATATTAACTTGGGACAAAATCATTGTTCTTGTTTTCATCACAAGATAAATAATTTGAGTTTTGTGTGTTCAGCATCAATTCAAATCATAGTCCTAGCAATTATATTTTTTGAATTAATTAAAAAGTTAAATTAATTTTACGAAAATATTACCATTTTTTCTCTCTAATTTTGTATTTTGGAAAAAATTATTTTTATTAATAAGCTGATGCTTTTTACTTTCAATTTCGATGAATGAAATTAATAGAAATATAATATATCTCTAAAAATAAGTGCATTTTTTGAGTTGAACAAGTTCTTTGGCCTCCCCACGAGAATAGGGAAAGCCACAAAACTAATCATCAAACAAGATCTTTGGCCAGCATCCATTCAGTGGCGATGACAGCCAAGTTCAAATCGCTCCTGTCCAACGTAAACAGAAATATTTTTAGTTTCCCTCCTGAATGCATCTTCTTCCTGACATGAGGATTGTAAAGTGAATGAGCGTCTTATTTTCTTTAAAAGCTGCGTGCACGTTCCTCTCGGTCAGATTACAATCTGGATAAATAAACTAAAAGCTTCCTTTTTAGAAAAGAAAAAACGAGAGGTCTTTATTTATACATGTAAAAATTTTTACAATTTATATCAAATTATTCCAAATAAAAAATTAACTTTTTTAATTTCTTTTTAATAATTACATAAAAAAAATGTATAATATTTGCAATGATTTATTTTCACTTCTTGAATTTCACATTTTTCTAAATTATTTTCAATTTTATTTGAATTCAAAATATCCAAAAAAGCTAATTTTTAATTCTGGTTGTTATGAATCATTGTTCCTCAAAAGAGACTGTTTGTAACCTTTTGCAAGACCGGAAATTCTCATATCTGTGAAAAAGTTATTCCGAGCCAAGCCCGCGCACTCGAGAGGGCCCCACTTTTGTTTCTGGTCTCGATCGTCGCTCGATATATAAAAGAGAAAACTTGTGCGGTCCGAGTCACTCCGCCATGGACCGTGCAGCCGTGCTGATGCTCGCCACCCTTCTCTTGGCCCCCTCGCTCGCCCAACGCGGTGGTCCCTTGCACCGCCCTGATGACTCATGTCCCCCCTGCGACCCTTCGACCTGCGCGTCCAAGAATTGCCCGGCCGGCGAATTCCTGCCCGGCCCTTGCACCTGTTGCCCGTCGTGCGCCCTCGAGGAGGGAAGTTCCTGCTTCAACAAGTCCATTCAGGCGCTTCCACCCCCGCCCCCTGGAAAGGTCATCGCCCCCTGCGGAGAGAACCTCGAGTGCCTGCTCAGGAAGGACCTCCATCCAAGGGTGAGAAACACGTACGGGTTATTTAAAAGACAATTTGATTATTTTAATCCAAAATGTTAATATTTTGGAACTTAAAAAAGTTAAAAGGCGCAACTTGGATATAATTAGAAAATAAAATTGCAAGTTAAAAACAAATTCTCCTCCAAATTTTAAGGGGAAAAATAAATTTTAATAAAAATAGAATTATTAATTATTTCTAAATTTTTTATAATTTTCCTGGTGTTATTTTGTTATTTTTAATAATTTGATTTCATTTAAAAAAAAGGTAAAAGTTTCCATTTTCTAAATTAATAAAGTTCATTAGCTGAAAAATTGTTAATCAAAATTTAAAATCAAATCAAATAACTTTCTTTAAATTTGAATGTGACATATAATTTATTATTATTATTTTTTTTTTTTTAATTCAGCATTTTTTTACCATTTTTTTTTCTTTTTTTTTTATAAATCTTGTCGTTGAAAATAAGTAATTCTAGCCGTGCAGTTTTAATATTTTTTGCCTTGTCAGCTCTTGCGTCAAGTTTTGTTTGAAGTGTGGCCAAATTTAAAACCGGCTCGAGTTTTCTCTGCAAATTGGCAAACTTATTTTTGGTGTGTCCCGAAAAAAAAAATAGGCCACCGCGCAGTTTTTTTCCTCTTGATGCAGGTCCAGCTCTTGAATTTGTTGCGGCCATCAATCATTTGAATTTGCTTTCGAAACTATTTTGGGCCTTTCGAGATTCTTCCTTTTTGGCACTCGCCGCTGAAAAACCTCACCGAGATTATAATTTTACTTTTCTTAATGGTAAACACGTGTTTATGCCGGCGCGACGAGATATAATTGAAGGATGCTCTTTTTGTTTGCATCACGTGGCTCTGCCTTTCGGAAGTGATGAGATGATGTCACTCAAGTGAGGCTTAAACGTCATGAATGATGAGATGAAACGAGAGGTAATAAAAACATTATGAGACTGCCAATGCGTCTCTTTTGAACTCACAAAACAATTACAAATACTAAGCCTAATGGTTTTTTGGCATCCTAAAATAGAATTTATAGAGACAACAAAATATGGTAAATTAAAAAACATAACCAAGGAATCTCTTGGCGGAAGAAAACTGCGCAGTTTCCAGTTCAATTGCTCTGTATGTGCAACACATTTACAGTTTATACAGCTCTTGAATGGGGTTTATTTGTTTTGTCAGCGCGTTTACAAGTGTGCATCTTATTAAACCACCAGACAGAAGCGAAAAAATTGTGACTCTTAACTGAAAATTCTCCTAGAAATAATTTATAAATAACTTGATTGTTGTTAGAATTGGAAAAACTTCATACAGAGCTCCTTAATTGAGTTAATTAATACTTCAAACAACACAAAAAAACATTCGATCGTGAGAGAATCCTTCAAAAATAACTCATAAAATTAATTTAAAATTTTGCACAAATTTTATTTCATATAATTATACCATTTTGCACTACAGATCAGCAATAATTGGAAGTGATTAAAAGGTCATAAACTAATTATTTACAAGAATTTTCATAATATCAACATTTATATGGAAAAAAATTAAATTCCTTTAAAAAAAAACAATCAAGATGGATGTCATAAGTTCAAAAGACAAGATTCAAAATAATTTCCATAGGTTTCATCTTTCATCGAGACAATGATTGCGTCTCCAGCATTCAGTTCAGCCCTGTCTGGCCCTCTCATGTTTTTACAAAGCGCAATGAATGGTAATCATGTGCCTTCTTAAATTAAAAATGTGCATTTCTTTGTTGCAAAATTCACAGTTTGCTTTCTCATGTAAGTGTACGATGCGAATGTGATATTTCAGGTCTGTGGAAAAATAAAATTTAGCCGAGCATTGATTGCAGCAATGCTTTTTCTCTATTAGATTGTGATCAGTTGCCAAGTGTCTCTCAAGAATATCTTTTCTTAAAAGTTCCTTGCTGCAGTGAGCACACTTAAATTTATTTGGGATTGATTTTCTTTTTTCCAATCTCTGAAGATTTGAGCTCAAATTGGATTTTGAAGATCGAACTGAATGAACTAAATTCTTCTTGTTCATGTGGTATTTCAACAATGATTTCTTAATAAAACTTTTCATGCAAAGCTCACAACGAAAATGAGAAAATGCACTGAAAATGCGGTGCGCCGCAGGTGGAGCGACGAGACGCCACGTTTTTTTTCAAAAAATTTACAAGCAAATTTTCTATCTTGACAATTAACGAAACTTTTAACCCCGCTGAAAAAATATTAAAATTGATAATTACGATCAGGACGTTCCTGAGGCGCTGTGCACGTGCAAGCAGAAGGAGGCGGTTTGCGGCACCAACGACCTGACCTACGAGAACATTTGCCAGCTGAGGGAAGCGGCCGTGCGCGGAAACTACCGCGGCGGTGCCCTCGCCACCAAGAACTGGGGCCGCTGCAAATCCCGCAAGTTTTTTCATTTCTCTGAAAATTCCCTTTATTTTATTTTTTAATTATAGTGCCCGAAATCACTGGTCCTCCCGACGACACGTACGGCCCTTTGTCCAACGAGTTGGCCCTGGGCTGCGAGGCCAAGGGCAACCCCATCCCCGACGTCCACTGGGAGTTCCGGCCAGAAAACCACGCAAACAAGAGAAACCTGCCAAGTATGGATCTTGTAATTTTTGTTATTAATTTTAAATATAAAATTTATTCAAAAAGGCGACGACCAGTCGGTTTCGGTGCAGGTTCGAGGAGGCCCCGACTCGTACATGGTCACGTCCTGGGTGCAGATCATCAACCTGCAGGTCAACTACACAGGCACGTACACCTGCGTCGCAACAAACGAGATTGGCACCACCAGGGCCGACGCCAAAGTTGGAGTTTACACGCCATAAAAAGTAAAAATATATTATCTAAAAATGATAAAATATTATAATTTTAATTATTTCTAGTGATTTTTGGCACCCTACACGTCTCAAACTATAGGAAGGAGGAAGATTATATTTTCAGCTAAAGATGATTGAAAGTTTTAGAGAGATAATTTGTATAGATTTTTGTATTTTTACAATTTTACATCACACTTAAATGTACTAACACAATTATTACATTTTTTAAATTTGCGTTTGAAGTAAAAAACAATAAAATAGATTATGTTTTAAAATACAAGACACTGCCCGATACCTCCGTTTACCAAATTTCCACTTGGTCTGGTTCACTGAAACATCGGGGAAGAAAAGGTTGGAAACGAAAAATAAAAACCAAAATAAAATATAAAAAGAGGAGAAGAGAAGGGGGGCAAGAATTAGAGAGTTCAGATTTCAAGTTTCACTTCTTCTACATACTCGGGCGACGTCCAGGACGGGCCAGGCGGGGATTCTTGGCTTCTGCGAATTAAATTTTCACAAAATGAACCAAAATTAGGAAGCATAAATTAATACCTACCCCGTTTGACTTCTGGCCAAGAGGCTGGACTTGCGCAGCTGGTCGAAGTAGCCGATCAGTTTTATGCTGGTCGGAATGGCCATCAGGAACATAACCATGCACCACATAGTGCAGAACCACAATCCGTTCTGAAATTAATTACAAAAAAGTTCATTCGGGGCAAATTTTATAATTTTACAATCATATATTAAAAATTTAATTAAGATTCACATATTATTTGTAATTTTTGAATAAATTTAATTTTCAAATAAATAATTCAATAATTTATAGCAATTTTTTAAATTTGTAAACAATCTTATATTTATTTTTTCAATTCATTATTGTTTTTGGTATAAATGAATTAAAATTTTTGTACAAGTTTGCGCGTCGGGGGTGGAATAATTTACCAAGGGGTCCATCAGATGGCGGCAGAGCAGTTGGCGCACGCCTTGGAACACGTTCCAGATGGGCCGACAGGGTGCCACAGTGTCCTGCACCGAGTCGACCACGTAGTCCTGGAATTGCGCCACGTAGTTCAAAATGCGCTCCGTGAATTGCCGCATTTTCTAAAATAAATTTCCCATTTTAATCAACAAAAGTCATAAAAATAATTAATTAAGCAACCTCTTGAGCAATGTTGGTGCCTTGGTTGCCGATGAAGTACTGAATCGTCTTCAAGTGAGACATGCTCTGCGTGATTTGCTTCTCAATGGGGATTAATTGCACCTCAAGGGCTGTTAATTGGTACACAAGCTCGTCCTGCAAAGTCCGTGTTCAGTTTGGCGCTTTCATTATACATAAGCTTATCTCAATATAATACCTCTTAGGATTATAATTCACAAGCGCTAGCAAATATACAGTCTAGCCTGGAAAATGACACAAACAATTACTATGGAAATTTCTAAATGTATATTTCATTAATTAAATTAATAATATGATTAAACGTAGAGGATCATAAATTTAAATTATCAAAAGATTTTGGGCTTACAATTATAAAATAGTTGAAATTTACTCTAATTATTCTTAATTTTAAATATTCAAAAAAAATTGCCAGGTTAATTTTGATGTTTAATTTTTTCTATATTTTACAAGTTTTTGTTTGCATATTTAATTCCAAGGAGAAAAGATGTAAAAAATTTAAATTACATGGAATAGGACTGAATTTTTAAAATTAACATTGTTTCTTCTGGGAATTTTCTAAAATAATTTCCCCCCTCAAAATTAGCCAGATATTGATCGAAATTTCACCAAATCACGGAAATATCGCCCCATTTAAGCTGGCAAAGTTAAATTAATTAGTATCTTAACTTCAAAATTAAGATTGAAAACTTAAGGGAAACGGTCGATTTCACTAATAAAAAAAGAATATTAAAAAAAAGTGATTTTATTTAGAAAAAATTTGAAGAATTTAAGGATTTTCTTCAAAGTGGGAAAATGATTTTAATTTTGCTTTTGAAATTGATTTAAATTTTCCTTCTGAATGGAGTCAAAATGTATAAAAAAACAGTCCATTAATTTAGAAAAAAATGAGTATAATTATGTGGGAGTTGGCGCATTTGCAGAAAATTGCGTGCTACTTAGTTTGCATAAAAACAAGGCGCTAATTAATAAGCATCATAATTTAATCAACTAATTGCGGGTTTTAGCATAAGCAAGAGAGTGATTACTCTTCTGGTCTCGAGGGGCAGAATGTTGGTGCTGATGAGTTTGCGAGTTTTGGTCACGAGGGAGCGGAGTCTGCCGGTTGTGGCGCCGTCCTTGATCTGGTTGGCCACGTTCTCCATTTGCGTGGCGAACGAGGTCAAATCTTTGGCTGTCACGCTGCCACTCAGCTACAAAAACACCCGCTTTTCACTCTCGACACATGGCACGGCGGGTTTGTTGACTCACCGAGCCGCGCAGGCTGGAAAGGTCAACAGACGTCGTGTCGAGCAGGCCCTGCAGCGTCTTCTGCAGACTCGGCGTCAGCAGCTGCAGGTTCCGGAAACTCTGGTCCACGCTCATGCGGTCCAGCTCGGCGTGCAGGCCGTGCCACGTCTTGAACGCCGTCGCCGTCTCCGCGTTGAACACGCGCGACAGCTTGAACGTCTCGTACGCCGGACGGTTGTCCCGACACTCTCTGAATAATTAAAAATAGCAAGAAAAAACAATTATTTTAATTGTTGAAATTTATAGAAAAGATTAATTATTTGAGTGAAAATCCGGATTGAATCAATTTATAAACCAAAAATATTTCAGATTTATTGGGGGAAAAAACTGCAGGAAACGTCACGATTTCAATTTTGATGGAAATTTTTATCAACATTTAACATTGGTTTCGCTGAATTCAGTTTTCTAAGAAGGAATTTAAAACATTTGTCGAGTGGTAAAGTTTTTAAATTTGACATTTTTTCATATGAGAATTTTAATCTAAAACTTGTACAACAATAACTGATCAAAATTTCACCAAATCACGCGTTTAAATCGAACCGCAATTAAGTCGGAAAAATACAATCAATCAAAATTTTTCAATTGACCTTATATGGGAAAAAGGTTCAGAAATTTTATTTAAAGTTTTAATGAGATATCGTAAATATTTCAAACATATCAGGCAGGGTAGAATAAATTAAAATGAAACTCTTTCTATTACAATCTCTTACTTTGGAAACGCGAATATAATTCCTTCAGAATGTTTCAACAAAGTGGATTTTAAGATTTTGATTCGCAGGTTGCATAACCACGAATCTTCAAAGTCGCGCACTTTAATTGTGGGAAATTCTAATAAGAATTATTCTTCCAAGTTTGCTGATTCTCGGCTAACGCCGCATGCCTATAGAAAAGCTTGCTTAAGACTTAAAACCGAATAAAATTAAAACTAAATCTGTTCTCATTATCAAAATTTGATTTCGGGTAGAAAAAGTTATAATCCACTAAAAAATCAGCACGGCAAGCAATAAAAACTATGCAAATTTAAATATTTGACGAATATAAAGATTTTTGGCTGCAAATCACCATAGGAAAAAAGCTTCTTTAAAGCCGAATAAAATTGATACTAAATTAAAATTAGATTTCTTATGAATAAAATGTAATAATTCTCTCATAAATTAGCACTACAAATGAAAAAATAATTACATATTTATCGATATTATGATACAAAATTAAGAATATATATAAAAAAAAAATATTTTTTTTTCTTCATGATAAAAACCTTGAAAAGCTTTAAAATTCATGTCAACCAGGAAAATATTCGATTTTATTTCTAACTTGTTTTTATTTCGTTGGTTGAAAAGAAATCTCTTATTTTTTGATAATATAAAAGGGAACTCACGCGAGGACTGTGCGGATGGGGACGTCGAGCGTGTCGTTCTTGTAGCCGACGTTGGAGAAGAGGCCTGGTTTCTTGTTGCCAAAGAACATGTTGGGCTTGTCGAAGAGGGTGGTGATGACGGTGAAGTCGGGCTCCTGGTAGAGCGGCCGGCACACGAACAGCTCGCCGTGGCCGCCGATCACCACGGCCATTACGACGACGCCCCACAGCGCGATCGAGAGCACGGCCAGCAGCAGCAGCGCGCTAAGAAAAACGGGCAAAGATTTATTGCCGATTACAAATGTGGGCGTTTTTGCCCAGGGAAATTCATAATGGGTCCCCGAGCTCCTGCCGCACGCAAAATTTATTTATAATCTGAAAATCCGCACTGGAGACCATTGATGAGGCCAAATGATCGCACAAACCAAAATCTGATAAAAAAAGACTAAACTTGTTAAAATATATTCAAGTCGAAAAGTCAGAAAAGAGAAGAAAAATTAATATGGAGTAAATTTTCATAAACAATTCTGGTGATAAAAGATAAAATAGTTGAATTATCTTTTACAAATTAGTTTTATTGTATATTTTAAAGTTTTTTTTAATAATCCAACCTTTTGATGATACTTAAAATTGTAATTACTTGTGTGTAGCCAATAAGTTAGTAATTAAAAAATTAAACTAATAACTTTCCAGAAAAATAGTTTAAAGTGAACTTAAATTTAATTTATTTTAGTAAAAATTAAATATTTTAAATAAAAAGCGCTTGTTTTATTTGCACTCGGCCCTTTTGGGGAGGAAACGAAACTTGTCGCAATTATTTCCAAGGGTTGAGTATTTTGATTGGGAGTTGAATAAATTTGCATACAAGATTAGGGTGCATCCCGCTTTGCGCTCAGATCCGCAGCAGCCGCAACTGATGGCCGACATCAACACGGTCCAGATCAGCAGCACCGACGAGGCCGTCACTGCAAAATCAAACAAGAAAATTCATACCGAGCGATGCTGGTGGCTTGGCCTGGCCTGGCCTGGCTTGGCCTGACACACAAAGAGCCCAAATTGCACTTTGAAAGAAAGTGCTGACGGCGCGAGATCCATTTGTGCCGCGGCGCGCAGCCTTGAAAATTGAGTTGTTTGATACAAAATCAATTGCGACACTCTGTGTGCGCGCCGCTAAAATAGCATCAGCTGCAGCCTCTTTTAAAGGCTTTTCATTAAAATACATATGCGGCGCTAAAAGCATCGCCTAACTTAATTGGCGCGGCCCATATTCGATTACGCACACGCCAGGCAAAGACAGTTTCCGTCGACGGATGCGCTTTTTGTCTTCAATTTGCAAAAGCATGAAAAGCGACCGTTCAGCGCCTTTCCTTCCAAGTAATTTCAAAATTCGATTCTGAGCAGTAATTTGCGAATCGCTGCATAATTGCTGAATTATTGAAAAGGAGAAACACGCTGCAAAATTCTTATTATTTCTCAAAAATATTCATATTTTTTGTGAAAGATAATTAATAGGTCTATTAATTAACAATCCCGATTTTATTCTTCACAAAACAAAAAATTTCTTAATTAAAAAGTTTCTAAATTTGATTATTTAATAAAAAAATTGATGTATTTAAATTTACAAATAAATATCAAATCAAAGCCTTTCTTTCAATTTTCTAGACTAACAGAAATTGCATGTTATATTTTATATAAATTGTTAAAAATATAAATTATTGCTTTTTTAAATATACTTCTGTTGGAAATTGTAGTTTGAACTTTTTCCAGTCTGATTCTAGACAAGTTTATGACATTTTCTCTTCTTGAACTTCATTTTTATAGAAGTGCGATTTGCAAAAAGGTGCCGCCTGCACCAATGAAAAGTAAGTTTTTCCGCACTTACAAAGTCCGACGAGCCAGCGCCATTCTTCGATTTCCGGAACACCTTCCATGTTGCTCAGCGTCCAATCCCTCATCTGCTGAATCTTGTTATTCAAATGCTTCGTCAAGTCATCCAGGCCGCGCAGTTGCTCTTTAATCAGAATGCGCTGCATGTCCAACTCGCGTTTCACGCCTGCGAAAAAAGAACGCGAACATGAAAGTACGACTCGGCGAAATTAAATACGAAAGTAGTAAATTCCTGCCAACTCGTTAAAAGCGAGGGTTGATCACGCGGCGCAAAAAGTTTCATTCACAATCAATGAGATGCGAAAACGGGTCAAATATTATATAATAAAAAAGCTGCAATCGCTTCAAAAGAAGATCTATAAAAAAGTAAATACAAACTTCAATGTTATAAATTCTTAGAATGAGTTTTAATCTCCTTGATAGATATAAAAATTTAAAAAATTTTGTTTGTTGAAAATAAATCTAATCAAAATGAAATTTTTAAATTTAAATAAACGTTTTCGGTGCTAATTATTTCTGCAAAAATCGCACCCAATCTTGCTTCACGCGTGGTTGCGGCCATTTGGTGAGGGATGAACTGGAATTCGCTGCGCGCCTGTTGTGCCGTCGAGCTGAGGGTGTCGTTCCGCAGACGCCGCAAATCCGCCAGCCGCACGTCATTCATAATCTGGGGGCAGATTTATTGCAACGCTTTATTTGTCAAATAAATCAGCAAACCTTGTCCAGGTCGATCTTGACCTCGAGGCCGGCCGAGTCGATGGTGTCGCACAACGGCCGGTCGCGCAGGTTGCACGTGCGCCTGAACGAGTCCACCTGCATCTTGAGCTCGGCCAGACGGTCTTGGGTGGTGCGCGAAAGGGTCCGCACGGCCCCGGCACTCTGCTGAAGGGTCACCGCCCTCTCCGCGATTGTGTGTGTGGCTGAAAAAAAAAATTGATAATTTAATCGTTTTTCTTTGGATTTAATGAAGCTGTCGTTCGATATCAAATAAGGGGCAGTGAAAAAGTTATTGACAGTAAAATTTAATTTAATTACTTCTTATATTATTCGTTAATACGGCTTTCAATTTAAAAGTGAGCTACATATAGAAAAATGACTAACACAACGTTTTCCGATGTAAATTTTTGATGTCAACTGACCTTCTGACTTTATTTTCCATCTTTGGGAGTAACAAACGTGATTTATTTTTAAGATAAGAAAAGGAAACATTCAAAATATGCCACTGAAAATTCAATAAATCTGAGCAGATTTGTAAAAAATACAAAATTTTGTTGATTTCCCACATAAATAAGCCTCACATTCAGAGTGCTTTTCATTCTTTTTTTCCCCTTTTTAAGATAATCTATCTCTTTTTCTTTACAATGTATTTTCGGCACAAGACGCGTGTCTCTCTTGATCTTGCTCTCTCTGCAAATCGAGATTTTTATTAATGGGGCCGTCGTCGATCGTCGCGGCTGCGGTAATGACGCCGCGTGTGTGCGCGCGCGAAGAAAACGCGCGCGTGTTTTGGTGTCTTGTCAGCGGCAGTGATATTATTATGCACGGTGCGGTAATCCCGGTAATGATGTCCCTACTTGATATGCATTAAAATGGCCCTGGCGCTGTCACTCACACCCTCGCTCCTTTTCCTAACACGTATATTTCGGCCGCAAAAATTAAATTGCGCGCTCCTCTTCGCGCCGCCGCGAGAAATATATGATTAGACGCGGACATTCTCCAGCAAAATTGCCTCCCTCGCGTGCGAAAAGGAAAATCCAATAAAAGCTATAGTGGCTCTGTTTTATGTCAAAATAGTGGGGAGAGGGATAAAAATTAAACATCTCCCTTTCTTTCAAACGTGAAAAGAGCAAAAATATAATTTCACTCACACATGCTGATGTCCATTAGCACGTCCATGGCAACGTCGACTCCAGTTTCGCCGGCAATTTCCCGTTGGATCGGCCGACCCAGGATCGACTCAATGTCTGAAAGGCAAAGAAAGAAAATGCGCTTTTTATTCTACGGCTTCCTTCCTTATGTGTTGCGAGCTCCGTAAAAATAGTCAAATAGAAATAAAAGAAACAAGTCCTTTGTTAAAAATTCTGCTTTCAAACAAAGGAAGGCTTGTTTAGGAAATAAAGCTGAATGGGCATAAATATTTAATTTGAGAAAATACAATTTTTTATTATTGAATTTTAAGAAGGAAATTTTCATTGTGATTCAAAGTCGTCGTTCTTTAAAAATTGCAAACGCAATATTTTGAGGCTGTTTCAATTAAGGAAACAGAATTTAAAATTTAATTAAACATGCAATTGGATATTTCAGAGAATATTTCAGACGTGAACAGTAAAAATATTAAAACCCTGGCAATTCATGAATATCTTTTAAAGTAGAAATTCAAATTCTTTAATTTTCAAAAAAATTATTTAAAAAAAACTACTCAATTTGATCCAAATTTCTAATTTTTAACCCATTCTGTACAGATAATTTTTAATCTTTCAAACGATATTTTAAAATCAATGATATTTAAATTACATAACTTGATCTAAAAAATTGAAAATTTCAACTTTATGCAAAATGACTATCTTTGATTTTTTGTCAGGTTGCCCGTTTTCAAGGGGCACAAAATTATTTTGACCTTTCGCCAGGGTCATTGACCATTGACTTAGAAACTTGGTACCCATTAATAAAAGATACCTTGGTTCATTAGCTTCAACCTCCCACCAAGATAATTGAAAAATCTTTATCCGAATTAATTTAGCAGAAGTTTTAGTAAAACCTTAATTATGTCCTCGGCCATATTGGAATCTGAGAAATATTAATGTTTTCATTACTTGGATTTTATCATATTTTTTGCAGGAATCAATGAATTCCAAGTGCTCAAAATTTAGCTTCAATATTTTCTAAAAAAATATGAAAATTTAAAAAAGTTTTCAACGTTTTCCAAAAATTTCAAATGCGACTTCAAATTTACTGGTTATCAACGGTTATCAAAATGATCCTTCAGTTTTTGTGGAGGTTTACTTTATTCCTGCCCTGAAGTAGTTCCATCCACTTTAAATGGCATTTTATTTTTAGTTTCATTCCAATTCAAGGTGTGTGTTTTTTGTAAAATAATTTTTAATTTTTAGATTTCCACTCAATGAATTTTGCCAAAAAAAAAGTGAAAGAATTAAATCCGGATCTGGGATGTTCCGGCTCCATTTCAAATGCAAAAACGTTAAAAATAACAAAGTATAAAAAGCTTCAGCTCGTTTATTTCGCAGAGAAAAAGGGCCCATTTTTCTCATCACGCCGCGTCAGCGCAAAAATGCTAATTCCTTTCCTGTGTGGGCAGAGCGAGCGAGTTTTATGCCACCGGCGTCGCACAAACAACGCGCCGGTTGCATAAAATCTCGCACTTTTTTTGTAAAATTTAATTGAATTTATTTCAACTCACTGTCCAGGTCGGTGATGGTGGCGTCGACGGTCTGGTCAAGGGCGCTGCTGACCACGAAGTGCAGCTGCTTGTGCGAGTTTTTCAGGTAGGTGGAGAGGTCGGAAAAGGCCGCGTCCATCACCGCCGGCGAACGCTCCATTCCCGAGCCCAACTGCTCGTTGGCCACGAAAATCCCCGTCAGACCGGCCCTGCCAACACAAACAAACAAACGCCAATATCAAATCAACGTTCTCGCTAAATTTATTTGTTAAATATTTTACTACTTTTAATTAAATCATGCACTGGTCTGAATATCCTGTAAATAAATTTAAAAACTTATGATCAATTGATCACTTTTAAATTATTTTTTTGATGTATAAGAAAAACATGGTTTATTATAATTATAGTGAATAGCACTGCTTGCGAAATTTTTAAATTCAAGTTCTTTTCATTAACACGAGTGTGCATGAGTGGAAGAATGTAAACCACCGCCTTAAAAATGCCTGTATTTAAAAAAAAGGGTCAAAAGTTTTTCCATTCGTTATGCGCACTACCGTTTTTATGCAAAAATTGCTGCAATTTTCCTGTCACTTGCATTTCACATATTATATCTTACAAAAATCTTTTACAGCATAATTTACTAAGTGAAAAAGTAATCTTAATGTTATGTATAAGAAATTCTCTCCACACTTATTTCTTCATTACTTTGAGAATATTTTTTTCGAGTTTTATTAATTTGTAAATAAAAATTGTCCCCTGAAATAAAAATCTGAATAGTATTTTTAAGTTTAGATGAAAACAATTCACATTCACACCAAACCTACAAATTCTAATGTGCCAAAAAGACATTAAATAATGGTGATATATATTCTCTGCGATCATATCAATACCAATAGAGGCTAGAGGGGGCAGAGATTTTGATGCAACTCGTCTCAAGCATAATGCCTATAACGCATTATTTCGCTGCATGTAACGTGTGAAAAAAAAAATATTAATTGACATAATGCTGCTTGGAGTATTTCAACAAATAAACCAATTAAACAATAATGAATTAACAAAAGATTTTTAAATTTTTTAGAGGTTTTACGTGGATTTACTCTCAGATGATCCACCCTCCGATGACAATGGACTTTAGAGGGGGCGCTTTGACGGAGCACTCGAGCAAGTGGCACAAGGCGCGAAACCCTCCAGACGGGGGATGCAGCGCTGCAGTTTCATTGCAAGTGACGTAATATGCACCTCCCTAGCATGTTCCACATATCTCACACGGGGGGTGCACATTGCACCCCGTCCACGTATGACAAGCCTGGATAAAGAAAGAAACTGACAAAGACGCTTTTCAAGCGCGCCTTTGAAATTATTATTGCAAAATATTGTGTTGCCTCTCGCTCTCGGTGCTGATCTTACTTTGCAGCGGAAATGTATGCAATTTTAATGCGATGCAGACGTGAATCCGCGCGCGCCTTTACGACAGCGACCGCCGCGGCTAATAAACTTTTACGGCTCACTTGCGGCGCTGTCGGTGAGAATCGCGACTTGTTCCGCTCAAAGAAAATCATGCAAACTCCGCAGGTAAAATTTTTGCAGTAATTTTTGAAGTAAAAATGCTAAAATTGCTAGAAAATTTAAAAAAACAATACATATATGATGAGAGGCTGCAAAATAATTTCCCCTGCAAATCTGGCAGAATTAAAATTTTATGGGGATTTTTTTCTGAATCAACTTGAAGCGGCCGCATAACTTTGGTTCTAATTGACTTGGACACGTTTTCTTCATGGTTCTGTGAAGAAGAAAAAACGAAAAAAATGCACCCTCCTACAAGATAAGAATAGTAAGGAATCGTTCAGATTTGATCCAAAATATGTTAAAGATTCAGAATAATTAGAAAAACAATTTGTTGTTTAAGTTTCAGTAAAATGGATTTTTGGCCTTCGGTGATTGTCATACAAGAAAATGTTTTTAATAGAAGTTGTTGAAAATTCAACTGTAGAGATTTTGTATATTTACTATTTTCTTGTAACTCCAATAGGAAACGCGCTGGAAAAGCAAGAATGTTCCTAAATGTGGCTTATTTCTTCAAAAAATTTTCAATGCTGTAACTTTTACGAGCCAAAAATTTGAAGAAAATACCATTTTTTTGCCATTCCTGTTTCTCTAGCGCGCTTCCTATTCAATTTAGAAGGAAGTAGTAAAAACCTAAAATGTGCAAAATTAACTTATGTTTGAATTATTTTCTTGTAAAACTATCCTGGACCGAAAATCAATTAGCATTATAATAAAACTTCAAACGATTTTTTTCTAATTATTCCAAATTATTATATATTTTGTTCCACAATGTGACATGAACGATTTCTTAATGTTTCTATCTTGAAGGCCTCTTTTTTTTTATCATTTTCAGAACAAAAAAAAATTAATGTAAACTAAAATTATGACTATTTAAAATTAATTGAGGAATTAAAATATACAAATTCACATTCTGGCAGATATTTTTCACCTTCTCATTACATGTATTTTGAGTGTTAAAAATTTCGGCTTTCATGAAATTTGCCTCTAAACTTGACCTGACTATTTTTACAAAATTAATTTACGCGCTGTATTTTGAAAATAATCTTTTTAATAAACACTAAATAAACTATTTAATGTGACGTATAACTTAATTATTAAAAATCTCCACTTGAATGTGCAAAGAAACCAAAAATTTTGACTTATTTTTGACCATTTTTCCTCATTTGCACAAGAATTGTGCGAAAATTTTCACAACACAAAGAGGGGTGCAAAGTGGGATTAAGTGAGAGAGAGAAATGTCAGCGCAGGATCTCGCATCAGGGGCGGATTTGTTATTCAAATGCGAGATCATAATTCATAAATAGTAATGAGAGAGGCATATTGTCTTAAAAGGTTAAAAATTGCGCGAGTTTTGCGTCTGGTGTGCAGGTCGGAATGCGAGGGTTGGTGGTTGGGGCTGCGATATCGACCCCGCGCACGCTATCCGCAACACACAGAGCAGCCCGCCGACGTTACTCACTCGCATTACAGTCCCACATATATTAGCAAAGGGTCTCTTTCCCGGCAATAGAGACGAAGCTAAAAAATCGCCCCAGGCCAAGAGCGTGTCCCGAGAAAACGCGCACAGCTCCAACATTACCCTGCATTACGCCCCTTGCGCCGTCAAGAGAGCCTCGAATTATACACCCCTATCAAGTTAACGACGACGACGACTCCTCACAACGAACCTAACCAAATAGAACACGTTATTTCAATTACAAGTATACTTGATGTACTTTATAAAAAAGTAAAAAAAAAATTGGCTTAATTTTTATAGTAAATTTGGAAATTTTTAAAACGGCCCACGATTTTTCTCTTCTTTTTGCTTTGCAGATTTAAATTCCAAATAACAAGACTAATTAGAAAATTCAATTCGTTGGGAGAAATTAATTTAAAAAAATTAACATTTATCTTTTGGGAATTTTCTAAAATAATTCATTTTTTCCCAAAATTTACCGAACTTAATAAATTTGTAAAAAATTTCATTAGAGACCAATTTCATATCACCCCAATCAAAGTTAACAAATTAAATCAATATATTAAGGGTGGAAATCGAGATTAACAAATTGATCTCTGTGGGAAAAGGTTCAGTAAATGTATTTTCAGTGTTAAATGATAAAAAAATCCAAACATTTTCTCGAAACCAAAATGAACAATTTTTTATTTTGTGGGAAAATACTAGAAATACCGTGAAATAAAATTTGATCCTTGCCTTTTTCTACGCCCGTGACCCAGAAACCCCAAAACACTCTCTCTCGGTCTCGTTTATTCCGGAGCTAATGTTTCCTCCCCAGACGAAGTAAAAAGCTCACTGGACTTCTTATTTCTCTTGTTTTTTTTTTCTTCTCTGCAAAGACGCAAAAAAGCAGCACTTCTTGCCTGCGCTCAATGTCTCGCGATGCGATTTCTGACGTATTTATGGAGAGATTCGCCCTCTGTTGCGGGTCAAACGCTGCTGGTATAATTGGTAAATTCTCCCCTAGCTCGACCCCTGCGCTCATTTTATTACGACTTTTGCAACTTTCGCATGAATCAAACCCTTGAGCCATTTAAGGCAGGGGAGTCGGTGAGGGCCTCTGTTAACTTTGCGCAAGTGTTTCTGGCAACTCGGGCGGAAACCTTGTTGTTTTCTGAGAGAAGCGAAGACTTAATTTGTTCGGATTTCTTTTAAAATTGATATTAAATTTAAATCGGATAATTTCTTCAATTCAGTTAAAAGAAATTACATCAAAATATGCATAAATTTCAAATTTTGTGTCTTCATAATCATTTTGCAAGGAAACTTTTCCTATTCCCATTGACCCTTGCATGGGACGTGTGTGTTGTTTTGCAAACATATTTTGCGTGATGTAAACGCTGCGTTGAGAGCGAATCCCTGCAAGGGCGCGCGCGATCTGAAATCCTCTCTCGGCATTGATTTTGCATTGCCGCGCACCAAAACAACAAAGCTTTACACTGGAATTCCGAACGTGCGCAGGGCGTAATTATTATGCACTGAAGAATGTTTACGGAAGGAAGAGAAAGTAATTCTGGTAATTTGCCAAAGGGCGTTTTCCGCACCCTCTGAAAAATGACCGCGAAAACGTGCCAAAGCCATTAAATGCGGAGGGGCCGAATAATTTATGGTTTTTTTCTTCCAGGTGTGTTATTTTATTTTCTATTCCGAATATGATTTTTATTGGTTTGAAATGCAGCCAAGGGGGCGTGTTGGAAATAATGAGTGCTCAGCGCTTTGAAATATATTTATATTATATAGATCTCGCCACCTCTGCCTTTTTTTAATGAGCCCTAGCGGCGTTTGACTGCCCTCAAAATATATCAGCACCACCGACTTTATTGATTTTCAAGCAACGGTGGTGGTGGAGAAAAAAAAACGCCGAGATTTTTGCACGCGAAATTAATTTGCGGAGGAAACACACAGGTGCGAATTTTCACGCCGTTTCTCGCGCCGAAATTATATTTACAAAGGAATTATAAGGAAGAGGAGTTTTTTATACTTAAATTTATATTCTACAATCTGTTTTTACGTCTTCAAGTGTCTGCATGATTCATTACATATCATGTGTTGGCCGCAGGAAAATTAAAAAAGGGAACCGTGTCCAGAAAACACGTTCAGGGTGGAGCACAAAAGACTCTGCATGCAAAAAGAAACGGACATTGTTAT